GAATTTTTTAATGGGATTTCGGAATGCTCTAGTGAGGAAGGTAACTGAAAAGTATACTATGTTTTATAAGCTACATATATAGATAATAGCACCCTGCACACTTGTCTACTCAATCTGCAATCAAATTAGATTTATATTTATGGATCTCATAGTTGTGAAGCTCTAAAAGCTCAGCTTTCCAATCCGTTAACTGCCAGCAACATTTTAATGGACTCCTGACTTACAATAGTGCATACTTTACGGATTCTAAATGTACTTAATTGAACGACATGTCATTGATGTCACATAAGGCGAAATTGCATCGAAAGTATTTCTAACTGTATTCATAAGCAGTCTGGAAATTAAATGGAATTACTACCATCAGTTTTACTTTATGTCTGTAATTATTTTAAATAATACCTGTATAAACTAGTACTCTTGGGTACTACTTTTTTACTGCACATAAATATGTACACGGATCTCTTCGTTTGGCTGTGAGATATTTTACTAATCTGATGTTACGATTCTACTTATAAACACATAACTTCCGTTTATCATATATATGTAGGTGCAAACCAGCGTTAATTAGATCAGAAATAAGTGAAAATAAGGAGAAATGAGAACTAAAATAGCTACTTTCAAATACACAGTTATTGAAACCGTATAGTGGGTGCCTCAAGTTTTATTGCGAACGGTTCAGCTCTCGAGTGTAATTGTACTACAAGTACAAGCGTAGCGTATGTGACAGCAACATCTAAAAGTGTGTAGGACAAAGTGTTCAGGATCCGTACCTTGTTTTTTTGTTAAACTGAACACAAATGCATTGTTCCGAAATTCTTGCTGACATGAAGAATCTGCTATATATTTGGGAACCAAGCATTTCAGAGAATTCAAATTATAAGCGGATCAATTATATCGGTCTTATTTGTTCCCCGCAATTCAATATAATTTCGACCCAACCGGCATCAATTAGCCACGTTACAGAAAAATTGTCAGATTTCATGCAATCTGGCTGATGTTCTTTATCTCTCGATTCTACATACTTTCTCCAGGAATATAAATTGAGATAGTGCAGCTAAATAGATGTCGGAAAATAGGGCGTGTAGAAAATAAGCTACAGTGAAATTAGTGGTGGAACGCCGAGCGGATCCTTGGAATTCTGCGAATCTCCGTTAAGTAGAAGGATATGTAGGCCACGCACAAGGGCTTTATTGATTTCCCAGAAAAGCTTCATATCATCCCACCACCATGTCTACCACCATGCAATTCACCAACAGTAGGCAGGGTTGAAAGTTTCCCAACCTGAAAAAGTTTCCCACTTTCACCCAAGGAAGGACCCTGCCTAAACTTTCTCTCTTTGGTCCAGCTTCAACACGGGAGCTGAGACACATTTACAACTTACTCCAGTTCACTCGCTCTCGTGCTCTCGTAAGGTGTGGGAGTACAGCATGCGAGAAATTCTATATAGAAACTCCATATTCTTCATGACTTGCAAAGTAACAAGATTACAGAATATCTCGTCCCAAGAGTTTTGATAACCTCGTATAATTTATCGCTCGAAAGTTTGTTTCTGTTCTGATTAGACTGTTTAAAATGCCATAGCCATTGTACGATATTAGTACATACATGCATACCCACTTTACTAATTGCTTGGGATGAATTCAGTATCATTTTTCGAATGTGGAAACACAAGAAGTCATGACAAATGGCGAAGCATATACATTCATATACAAATTGTACGATATGACTTTTGCATTTTAGACGACGATATTGCTAAAAATTGTTAAATTCAATCTTGCACTTTCAGTGGACCTTACAATTGGCACAAATATATTCCTTCGTATGGATCCGATTCGATGCCACTATTTGTGCGATGCTTCGAGTTGACTTGCTAATATTTGGAGTAAACTCTTCTATGCATGAATAGATTCATGAGTTCTCTTGTAGGGGATTGTTTAATCTGATTAAATCTGGGTGGATTTGTTGTTCTTGTATTGATTGACCTATTGTGCTCGAACCCCTGACAGCCTACTGTACTGGCCATCTACAGATATTTGAATAATTCAATTAGACAAGACAATCCGTAGCATTTTTCTTCAATCTAGAACAAGCAATCTCCATTCCCTTTCCTCTCTTTATCTCAGGCCATTATTACTGTTTGGGTGCACGACAAATTCCTACATTGTTTATTGATTAATAGCTCCACTCAACTTCAACCTCTCAGATTTGAGGCAGCCAGCCATATATATCAATCGTAATGACTTTGCCATTTTTAAATTGCATTTATTAAGCGACACACAGTTCACGCTTCTTTTAGAGTTGATTTTGATTTGTGAAAGTAAGTGGATGCCAGAACAAGGAAATATGATACTGGACGGTCCAACCAACTGGCGAACTTTTGGTATTTGTATCACTCACAATCACTATCGTCGTCGTCAATTAGCTCAGAACGGAAAGTAGGATGATAGGATTTGAGACTCCTGCAGTGCGGCAATAGCTCCCTTTAATAAAATTATTGCAAGTGGGTCATTCATCTCATCACTCGACTTTAGGAAATAAATGCATAAATACCCGAGGCCTCTGCCCCATTGAGTGACAAAGATATATTTAAATAATGCGAGTGAATCCTCTATCTGGTTTCGCAGGTTTTGGTCCATGTGTGCAAGTAGCTGTAAATATTTGAGCTTTTCTTAAGCCATAAGCTTATGCTTTTCCCTTGCAAATTGGATGATACATATATGTTTTTATACTATAAAAGTTTGATTTATGCACGTATTGTTCATGCGAATTTTGTCATTTTTGTTAAAAATTGACTGTCATCTGGCAGAATGAAGTAAATTAAGTTATTGACAGCTTGCAATAAAAATGGGGTCCTTGCACCAGAACAAAGTACGCAAATACACATGTACGTACATACATCAATAGACGAGGCGTTATTATTCTGTGTGATGCATTCTGAAAGGGGGGACAAGTGCGCCTAACCAATATAATCGAAAGCACTGCGTGGTCAGTGTTTTTACGCTTTTTAATTTCTCTCGAATCATTCTTCCTCCCATATTATCTCCTCCTCTCATGTTCGATGCAATAAGCAGCCGTCCTATTCGCATCAGTGCTAATACGGGTTAAGAAAATTCAGGTTTATTTGATCTGCTTGTTGTTCTGACGTGTAATACAAATGTAAATTTACTATGTGCACTAATATAAACGGATGTTAGAAGGGTTGTAATACGATGTTCGCACTTGTAAAACATTTGATGGGGAGACATTTGAAATAACATTTGAAATAACCAACTGCATGCAGCCTTCATATGCCCGAGCCAATCAGTTTATCTCTTCTCAATGTTGAAAATTAAGTTGACTACCTTATGAACTCATGACCACATTTCGTTTACAATTCAAATTTTCAATACCTTCCGATCAATTTCTAAAAAACAGCGTGGATTGGGCCCTTCTAGCAAAGACGCTGAGCTGTCTATTCTTAAATCTTTTGCGCACTTGTAGTTTCGGGTCAAATTTCAACCATCTATAATAATTTAGAAAACTAGAGACGTGGGTCCATCCAGAAAATAACTTTGTCCTTGTGACATTATATTCTCAGTTTTGTACCTATATATCGAATCAGAGCACGACCATACTGTCCCCCGATAGACCGATCGTGTCCTCTCTTCGAACTTGGTCATATGCACTACAAATAAATATGTTCCAATTCAGTATATAGTTTTATAGTTGCTATCATTAGACAGACCGACATGACGGTTCCATAAGACCTGTCTCGAATAAAAAGCATTGGTGATTTCTATCCTGTAGAGTGAAACTAGTGGGCAAGTTATTTATGCCCAATTTTGTCATTCTTCTCAAGCATCCAGCTAATATTAAAAACACGTGGTAGTAAAATAGCAGGTTCAGCAAGACCAGGTTTTACATGATGTGACTATAGCCAAGCTATGATTTACTTACCTCTCCTCACACATTGGCAAAATCATGAATCAATCAATCAAGTAGTGAATTGCTGTCCAATTTTCTGTTTACATGTACCTTGATGCATGATTTGTATAAAATGTGATGTCAAGAAACACAACAGAATCGTCCTTGTTAAAATTGGAGGCTCTAACTGTTGCCAATAGGTCATTAGAAGAGGATGTCAGATTGGTCTACCTAATCTAACCTGATCGACACAACCGAGTCAGTTTAATATCTGTTCTACATTTTCTCAAAGTTTTGGCAACGTGTCGGCTTCAAATAATTGAAAGCAGAACCCAATGATGCATTAAGGCGCATTGTGTTTGGGAAAATGTGATTCTGAAAGCAATGCAAGTTTTGACACGTTTTCTGAGATTTTTCTGGTTTCTGATTTTCACACAGTAAAAATGTCAAATTGATTGATTGAGTATTGTTTTCTCTAACACATCTTGGCTTGAATATGAGTTTGGTATAACTACACGAGTACATTCTGGGTAAAAATTGGAACGGATCTCTAAGTTGTCAATTTGAGGACCTCTTTGCATACGTACGTGCGTATAGTTGAATGAATATAATGGACAATAAAGAAACGAGATTTAGTTTACGCCATATGTTTCGGTTAGCACCATTTACTTAATTAAGGTGAATTTTCGTTTGCAAAAGTTCATTTCACACAATAAGCAAGTGGTGCATGCATACATAATTAGACCTCTTTACTAATTGTTTGTTAACTCTGTTTCAACTTTTGTTTTGCATCTGTCAAATCAAATTCACTGTCATCTGTGTAGGGTTCTATGTTTTTTTCTCTCTGAATGCATTTACATATGCACAAATACTGGTACCTGTACTGCCTAAACTTTCCACCAGGAAATTACTTATCAGCGGGTCTTATCAGCGGGTATGAAAGGATTTCCTGCTTGGATGGTTGAATGCATTTACGTAACTTGGGTTGATAAAGATGATCTAGAACATTTATGACAAAAAAGACAAAAGCACTTTTAAGAAATTATGTTACAAGCGGTTGAAAAACTGACTGATGTTTTAATATTTGAATTTTGCAGGACGTAGACACGATATATTTGTCTCATGACTCAAGAGAACTTTGCCTCAACGATTTTGATCATTTGGAGCCCCGGTAAGATATAGATTTTATTTTTTCATGTAATTTATATGTACGTATTCCTGTATGTATGTACATACAAAAATAAACTATTTTAATTGACTATTGTTGAATGGTTAATGTATGATCGCCTTCGTTTAAATGGGCACCATGGTGGTGTCAAGCTACATGAGTGGCAATTTGATCATATCAACGCCAGCGTATTTCTGCATGAGAAAGCAATTAATGGTGATGACATTTATTTTTTTTAATGAGTGCGTGAACAAAAAATGCAACTCGTATCAAATTTCAGTCCATTTATTGACTATTTTTCTCAATGTAGAGCTATTTAGTAATCGATTAACCTTGATTTACTGTTATTTTCTGGTGTACTTATCGCCATACAGCGTGTAACATGTTATATTGTTCTCATACTAGAATTTTACATTAATATTCCGTGCGGCAACTGTTATTAAGTTGTATTCGTATGTACGATGCTAATCAAAACTGGCGTGTGACCATCTATTCCATAATACTTGCATAAAGCATGATTGAAATTCAACGAGTCCTACCAACTATTTAGGTAGCTCAGCAGTCATTATTATCGAGATGAACGAATAACATGTCTGCATGCATATACACACACAGAAGTGAAATGAAAGCTGATTTATTGCTCGTAACTCTTGATCATTAACTGCCAATTACAATCATGTACAAGATGAGAGATGATAGTAATTGTTAAAATTCTCTCCTTGTGCATTTATACGCGTATTTATGCACGTCGTTATGTACACATATGTCTATAGACTAGAAAATCGTATTACAAACTATCCGGCGTTTTACACATTCTACTAATTTGAGAAGTATTTAGTTTCATTGCAGATAAAAGCCACTGATTCGATGATATGTACATATAAAGCTCATTTCATAGTGTTTTGACTTATGAGAACTTATAAAGCAAATATTAATTAATGCGTACATCAAATGCCAAAATAAGTAACCAAATAATTTATTAAGTAAATCCTTAATTCATTCATTTGGATCAATTAATCAGCACTGTTGTGAGTTTTTACGTAATTTTCTGTATGCAATTCAGTATAAATATGCAATTCAAGAACCATATTTTATTGTCGTTGAGAAATTTCCATGCACAAATTCCTGTTGAGTTTTAACAGGAAACAATAAAGTTGGAATACATGTTCAATCAATTTACATTGGATTATTTTGCAGAGATCTGACTCCAATCCTCAGCGCACTGGAGTACAACAACTGGTTCAAGTCACTGAAAGGCAGCCATGTAAAACTATCTCACGAAGCAATGGACAAATTTCTTCACATTGTCCGAAAATCTGTGACTATTGAAGAACTTCACTTTGAGAATATTGGAGCCAAAACGTAAGTTATCGAAAGTAGTTTTCTTTTTTGGAAATCCTTGCAATTTTCAAGGTATGAAGCAATAAGATAAGCTGAAACTAATCCTGAGAAACTGAATACCTTACAAATTTAAAAGATAAAGGTCGCAATGATAGTTTATTACAAAACTGATAATTCTATAAAAAGTGAAAAGTTTGATGAACCACAGAGCAACTCGAGCATGAAAACAAATGTCTGTCAAATAACTTTTTGATTTTCTTCATAAAAATTCAAGCCGATAATCATCAAAAATTGCAAAATTGATAATGCTTTGTACTTTTAAGAGGCGAACCATCAATGTCTTACTCTCATCTTCTTTGAGATTTGGCGTGATCGTAATTTCGTCATAGTCTACTTTACTTTCTCATTTCACTGCACCACTTCATACATATTCCTCCTGCCACGCTTTACCTCCTTGAGTGTACGCTCTTGTGGTAGCAGCCTTACAAAAATAATGATAAGTTTCACATTCTTCAGTAACTTATAAGAGAGATAAGGAAGATGTGCCAAGTTTTGAACATTTAGTACTCTTTGGCTTTTATTTGGCTTTTATCAGGAATTCTATCAGGAATGTAACTTGAAATAATTTTCGACCCTCGTGCAATTAATAATAACAACATAATGACGAGTCAACGAATTTAACTTCAATAAGCTGTACCCAGCTTCATTCTCCGTTTGAGTTGTTTGGTAGCGAGAAAAAAATTTCTAAATTTATTAAACTCTTTCGACCTGGGGAAGACTGCTGTAACAACTAATTTTTATGTGCATTTATTTATATTTTATGTAACATTTGGAGCTCAACTATGATTTCATTTCATGGCATTGTTGGCACGTGGTTGAGAATCAGCCAAGCAGCGTCTATTCATTTTTATTTTCGTTCGTTCATCTCCTAACAGTTTGAAAATTGCATTAGTCTTGAAACGTCTTCCGTAGATCCTTAAAATTGAAATTTAAAAATTGTTATGAAGTTGGGACACAGTTATTACTTTTAGGAAATTGTAAAGTTTCTAGAAATTTGTTCTGTTCGTGTGAAAATATTAAGTTTTTTGTCTCGGAAGAATTTGTGTTACAATGGTTCCGAAGGATCAATTGTTTGATAAATTGTACAAAGTTGTCCGTGATGCACATGCACAACAAACTTTCTTCGTGCTGTAAGTCGACTTTCATAAAGTTAGCGCCTCTTCTACAATAAAACACAATACTTCAGATAAATATTTACTTATATATGTATTTAGGCCTACATGCATGTTTACCTTCGTCATTTTTGGGTGGTAAACTATATTACCTCCGAAATTCGGTCAGTAGGCGACGTTTTCCTGTCTAATAAGAGCAACGTGTGTCAGTAATTAGTTAATTGTTTGCAAAGGAGCTCGATCATGTTTCATATAAAACGCATAAGCCACTTGCAATGTTATTGTCCGTGGGATTATTTTATTTATTTATTTTTCATTGTTTCGTCGTGATCGTGACGTGATGTGGTCGGTTTTTGTGTGTGTGTGTGTGCAGTACCATACGCCATGCATATGGGATAAATTTATTGCTCGTGTTTTCATTGTTTTTAAGAAAATTTCAAGCAATATTGTCTCACTCACTCTCGCCAAGTCGATTCGATCCTCTATTTGCCATAAAGTTTCACACTTGAAATACTCAAACGGAAGTTAGACGGTTGGCTAATGGCAGTAAAGTGATGTTCATTTCATATGCGTGCTTTGCAAATTATACTTTTTTTGTCTTTGTTATCAGTCGCATGAGTAAATCTCAATTGCTCGTAGTTGGCATTTCCTCACAATTCATTAATTTTTGACTACAAACAACAAAACAGTTTGGTCTGAGGTTCAATTAGAGATTAGACGTCTTGGAGTCATAATTTACTTTTAAGGACTGACAAATTAATGTAAATGGTAATATCATTCTTGTAAGTGTACACACATAATTAATTGCAACACTTGGCAGTTTAACTTAAGCATTTTGATCTTCACAGTTAAATTTTAGTTTGTGTGTGAATTGAAAATGTGTTTTTATATCCTATTTCAGGGACTTTGCTCAAAAGTTATCAGCAGGTAATACAATTTTTAAGTTTTCATAACCAGTTCATATTCATTCGTTGTCAAGTTCCAAAGACACGGGTACAGTTGACAGTTTCTCCTGTTCTGAGATTTCCTAATACTTCAAATGCTGTACTTATCCAAATCTGGGTTGTTCGAAAAGTTTCTATTATAATAATTGTCAAACTCAAAGGTGAAATAAATTCACCAGATGAAAGAGTGCTCAATTCATGTGAATATACGAATGTGTAATATGATCTCTAAAACTTTAAGTTCTTTTGGACCTGGTTTGAGTGTTTTGTTTGTATCCGCAGCTTTGAGTCATAATACGAATAGCCAAGTCCACACCATAGACCTCTCGCACAATATGATTGAAGACAAAGGTGATTAAAATAATTTTGTATTAAATTTATGTTATTGATTCGTAAAGTAACCACTAATCTCTGTGGTCCATTTCCTGATTTGTGTGCCTCATATAAACTCACAACTGAACTGAAACGTGTCCACACGAACAAAAAGTTGTGCATAATCTCCTTTCCATGTCATTGCATTAGGAGGATTGATTTTGATTAATGACGTGTTTACAGGTGCTATTCACTTGAGCAGTCCTCTAGCCAAATTATGTCGCGGTCCAGTCTGGTTGAACTTGTCATCTTGTGGCCTTTCTGCAAAAGGTACACGATTTACTCTAAATTAATTTAAAATAGTTTTAATATATATTTTTATGCAATTCCAGGCGTCGCTCAACTGGCCCATGCGCTTGCTCTTAATCGGTGTGCACCAAATAGCTTGACCCATCTTAATCTAGCCGGAAATTCGTTGAAAGATGACATTAATGTAAGTGTGGGATATTTTATATTTACTTTTCTTCTGAATGAATTTTTGGACTGTTCTTAAGTGAAATTTGTAATTTTTAGAATCTATGCAATTTTTTGGCGACCCAAAATTCCATAACTTACCTTGATCTCTCGGGGACGGACTGCAACCTCGAAACAGTATGACGTTTAGAACTGAATTATTTTCTTGTTCCCTATGGTGGTCATTGACGGCATTTATTAATTTCAGGTATTTGGAGCTCTCCTTCGAGGATGTACATCACATCTTGCTCACTTGAATTTATCCCGGAATAATTTTTCGACAAAGAAGGGGAAAGAAATTCCTCCTTCATTTAAACAGTTCCTTACGAGTAATCTGGCTTTGAAAAATTTGGCTTTATCCTCCTGCAAACTGTCGTTGGACGCATTGAAGTAATCCATATATCTTTTAACGAAATGATTATGTTAAGAATTAAGATGCATTATGTAAACATTTTCATTTGTTATACGTCATGCACAATTTTTAATATTTGATACAGAGACAGTAATCCAATTAATTGTTTTTGTTGTATTATAACCATTACGTACTCATTGTTTGTTTTATTTTCTGTTATCCAATTACATGCGTATGTATGTAGTTGTCACCACATAAAATGATGGAGTTATAATTTTTGCTCTTGTCCTCTGAATCTTACAGACAACTTTTGCTCGGCCTAGCATGCAACGAAAACACTGCCGAATTAGAGGTAGTTTAAACATAATTGTTAAATTTAAAAAGTAATAAATATTTATACTCTTTTGTGTGACGATAACTAATGAATGACTCTAAACTAGTTGGACATCAGCAGCAATGGCATGGGAGCACAAGGAGCACATGTTCTAGAATCCTGTCTACACGGAATAAAATGTCTTGCTAGTCTCGACATCAGTGATAACAGTGAGTTAGAAATTCAAATTTACAGAATAATATACAGCACGCAGTATAAGATTAGTAAATATATAACGTCTTATCCAGATTTGGATGGAGATTTGGCCGGAGTGATAACAGCAGCGATGAAGAACAAGTCACTAAAACACCTAAATCTGGGTCGGAATCTGCAGTCTACAAAAGCAAAACATGTTGCCCAAGTCATGGAAGCTATCGTGCAAATGCTTCAGGTTTGTTCTAATGCTTAGGCTTTCACTTCCAAACATGAAGATTTGCTTGAGCCTAATTTTATCTGAACCTGTATACACCGATCTAGGAAGACGATTGCGTCCTTCAAACCATTAGCCTAGCAGATTCAAAATTGAAAGGGGAGCTTTTTGGAGTAATTAATGCCATTGGGAGTAATCAAACGCTTCAAAATATTGATATAAGGTGAGCAGTCAGGCTCGCATAATAATATCCAACATTCCATTGCAGCGGATGATGCGCATGATAAATGTGCCCTCATTTCGTCCTGTGCTGATTCTAAAAGCGTTGTAGGATTCAATCATAATTAAATATGTTGACCGTGTGAAGTAGAATTTTTATTTGAAGAATCTTATAGTTTTTTATCCATAGTTTATTAAACGGCGAAATACACCTCGCACAAAAAATATGAAATATATGTATATAAATTAATACTAATGATCAACTTTTTCTGATTTCCGCAGCGGAAACCAGTGTGGAGACGTGGGTGCAAGGCTTTTAGCAAAAGGTACAATCATTTAATCATTTGGATATCTCGGTTCATCTGAAGGGGTTTTGAAATCAGTCATGGTTTGAACTTTGACTGGACCTATAGGAATTTTTAAAATTCTTTATAGCTCTGCAAATAAACTCGAAACTTCGATGCATCACTTATGACAAGAACAACATCACATTACAAGGATTTTCAGATATCGCTTACGGTCTTGAAAGGTGAGTTCTTGAGAAAATTTATATGCAAATGCATGCACAAGTTTTGTATTCGACTCGTACATATAGAGACTAGTCCGTCGATAATTAACTTGATCCTTTGGGTTAGGATAAATCCTCTATTTTTACTACTTTTTTGAATGAGATATTAGTCAGCTAGTCTTTATTTGTCCTGCTATTCATTGGTCTTTTTATTTAAAAAATGTATACTCATTTCATTTTATCTCAAGGATTTAGCACCAAAAAATTGTTGCTCGTTAGTGGATATGGCTGCTCTTGTGCATACATAGATAGCTTTATGTATGTATTACTTAACCATATTGCATATTGTGCAACCTACTACAAAGGACAGTAATGGTGGTAATATGCAACAACTCGAATTATATCTCTGTATTCATCCAACTAACGAGTGAACAATACACGAGTAAATTGCAGAGTGGATGGTTAGATGCATAACGCGCACTGATGCTGATATTTACTAATATGTTAAAACCAAAAGTTGAAGCAGGTTGCAGTTTCCTTTGTTTTTCTTGCACTTGTCTCATTGTTTATCGTTGGGTTACTAAACTAGTTCACTTCGGTCGTAGCATCAGTTCCCTTTAACTTGGTCTTTGTGAGTAATTCTCATTTAATTCTTCCACCGTTCTCAGTTTGATTTATATTCTCACATGTGATGTCAAATAACGACGTCACGAAAATCCATGTAAGTCAATTTGTCCCGAATCTGTAAAGTTTAAAACATATCATGTCTAGGTATGTGTAACAAAATGTAGCTCTAGTATTCAATTCGTAGTTTGTTCTACTCTTGGATAGTAACATTTTTAAAAGAGACCATCATTATTATTATTATTGCTTATATGTCCGTCATTCGTCTCAACTCCTTCAACATATTATATTATATTACTTTGAGATTCGATACGAAACGGGCCGTTGTCATATATAGCTTTGTTCCTGTGGGATTAACACGTTTTTTGGACACTCACGTACTTATTACTTGACGAGGTTTTGTGATTTTTGAATACAAGGTGTGATTTAAGACTCATTTTGAATGTGTAGTTACAATAGCAGCATCATCTTCCAATCTTTGAAGCGTGATTTGATTGTCATTGTCAATTTGACAAAACAACATACGGAGAACAAGTCAAGTGCAACATACTTAAACATTACGTAGAGGAAGTTTGCGAATAAAAGAATGTTCAGAGGATTTGGTCATTAGTAATGACAAGCCTGAATTGTACCACGAACTGGAAATTTACTCTAGCAAATTCATTCCGTATTATTTAACAAGTAATTTTACGCACAAGTAATATTGGCTGATTTGTCTATGAACAAGCAAACGTATACGCAAATAGTCAATGTCAAATCACATTTAAAAAGTATAAAGCAAATAAACCGTTATCACTGCTTCCTCCTCTGTTTTACAGTAATATGAGCGTCCGATACATCCCTTTTCCAGTGCATGGTAAGTGTTTAAAATTAGTTTCTGTGTATATCCTATTACGTACATAAATAGTTACCGTCTGCAATTCCTTGTTATCTCAGACGTCCTTCCATGCATGAAAGTATCAGGAGCCGAAAAAACCGAATCTGTGATGAAGCGTATCCAAGATTTAATTTATAGAAATTCACAACCACAGAATAAGACATCCTCGGGCCATCAATTCCGACTTCAGCAGGTTTTTAATATATATTTCTTTATATTTACTAATACTTATTTAATACAAATTATTCTACAATTAGTGAAGAGTTGAGTGAATGAATATATTTTTTGTGACAAGTATTCAAACGTGATCACTGATATGCTGTGGTCATTTTATTATCGAACTAGATGAGAAAACAATGTGGCAACGCTGTGAAAATCGTTCTGAGCGATTGTCACTAATAGATTTTTGTTAGAATTTCATACGTATCAGAGTCAGTTTTCCTTAATTCGAGTATAGCGTAACCAATTTTATAGAGTAATTTTGCTTACTTTCGAAAAGTCCTTAACGTAATGTTTCAAAAGTTTTTTCTGAGAGGGGACACATCGAATTATACCATTTGTAATGGAGCTACTTATGAGCTGAGACGCGTATTAAGGTTGGGACATAGTTCTTTGTTGGAGATCGTGTACATTTAGATTCACACAAGAAAATATAAAACTGAGACAGATTTGACATTAGTCATGCACTCGCACTAAAAAAATGCATGAACAGCATTTTAGTTTGGCTGCTCTCTACACAAGACGACATTTTTATTATCGTTGTCCCCTGAAATTCTGTCCTATGTCGTGCCATATTCTCAGTATTATTTCACTAGAGTTTTGGATGTGTGATAGAACGTGTTAAATATATTCATATCTTATTCTCGAACACTCTTGTGGATGACTTGTTGGTAGTCGTACACACAAACTGACAAGCGTTGATTTTAGTGGAACGTTGATTTTGTCTAACAAATTATTTAAATATTTACATTTCGTGCTTGTGTACTTATAAAACAGGGTTTCCTACTAAGTTCTGCCCAACAAACGGTGGACAAGTTGATTAGTCAAACTCAAGACGGTGTGAAACTACTCAAGAAAAATGAACAAAACTCCCCTTCTGACAGCAACTATGTGGATGTCATCAATCACGCTGAAACCCTTATCCAGAATTCGGAACGAGCAAAACAGGTAAGTCATTAATTCATAAAAATTCTTTTTATTGGCACACGAAATAGGTAGTTATTAAAATTTTAAGCTCTAATGTCAAAAGACAAAGACAAAGCAACAGCAGATATGATATCTTGAGTAAGCATCTCCTTTGAGTGCTCTGGATTGCACAACACTCACAACCGACCCACCTAATTACTTCCACTTCCATAAAAGGAAATGTTCTTCCTAAAAGTTTCTTATCGTCCTTCAATTACAAGGAAGGATCTTGTTCTCGTGGTTGCAACCGTTTCATGCATAATAAATATGCACTAATCATTGTTTTTAACGTTGGCCCATCTTATCCCACAATCCCCACGTCTTGCACTCCTGAAGTCCTCAAGCATAAAGCGTGTCGTCGTTTCTTCACCGACCCAACTCTTGCATCCCTGCGTTGCATTCAGGCTGCAATTCGTACATATTTATAGGTATGCATAAGTAATAATCTGCATAAAAATTATCACGAGTAAAAAGCAAAACAATCCCATTCGAGCAATTGTAGCAGTCAGTAATTTTGCCCAAATTTGAATTATATGCAGTAATAATAATAATAATAGATTACACGTTTGATAGACCAACCTCTTTTTAGTTTGACTTTAAGTTTTTACCTCATTTTTGAATCAATACACACCTCATCTAAGCATCAGGTTTCCGTATTTCCTTCAATCTCTTTTGTCTATGAATGATACCGTATTATCATTATTATTGTTATTACGAGACAAGGTTAATTGATTTATTCTTTACAATTTGTTACTCAGTGTATGAGATGGAGAAAAAGATGTGTTTTGAGTAAAATTACAGTTTGCACCTAATTTACAATTTTTTTCACGCTTCTCTTTTCAATTAAGTTACGCATCGGTAATTTGCTTTACCATTTAGACAGACTATATTACGTGCAAGGAAAGAAAATGAAAACAGATTCGCATCTACTAACTACGTGTATGCACATACATGCACTTGGCTCAGAGCTCAAAGGATTGAGCAGAGTGATATTGAAGCCTTTCATTTAATTCCTGGGAATTAATTACAATCAAACAAGTCAAAGCACAGGACAACAAAAAGCTAAAAAAGCAACATTTTTGTATTTTGAAGGATTTCTTACAAAGATTGTTCTGACTTTACAAAGTAAGCATTCAATCCGATTGTTGCGATTGCATAAGCGTATAATTCAATGGAATTTTGTATTTATATTCAACATGTCAATGTACATTGAATGCTGACTATATAATGAGGACAATTAATATGTTGGATAGAATTTTGATTCGTTGAATGATCAAGTTTAAGTAGAGGTGTGGTTGGTTTGTGGGAAATATTTTTTATGGTTTAAAATTTAAACTTTAAATGGAGACTGGTCGATATTCTTACATTGCGGCAATGTACGTATTTGTGCGTATTTGTATGTATTTAAATCTACACAAGTATTGTTCCCAATCAATCACGGTGATTGATCGGGATTACCGTAGTCCATCCCAACTGAAAGTTTCAGTCTGAAACGAGAAATTTAGATCTTAATGTCACACTATAAAAGTTAACCTAAAGTCTATCTCATCGTCTCATGTGGTCATCTCAGCCTATGACTAGGATCATATTAGTTCTCAATTGGTGCGTTTTCATAATGACTTCATCAGTGGATAAAATATGTCGTGGTACGTTACGCAAAGTAGTGTTTTGAATTTTTTGCGATAATCATACCATTATTTTGTCCCGAGATTAAATTTACATGTACAGCTGTCTTTCGAGAAATGTATCACAATTCCACCAGTGTTGTCTTTTTCAAAGTAATAAAATGAATAAAAACCACATCGCACCAAAGATTCGACGACAACAACATAACTTTTTTTTTATCTTGGTAGGACTCTGCTTTCAACAGGAACATGCGACATGGTTGAGTGATTATATTTTTTGCCTTAAGTTGCTGCAGAGCAATTTTGTTCATCTCATGTTTTTAGATCTTGAATGTCTTTGTGCTTTGTCAAGTCAAGAGGGCTTTGACTTTTTACGCTTCCCCAACGCAAAGGGATGTTCCATCAGTCCAATGATTCCAATATTATTATATTACAGTTGACTTGACTATGTTGTCATCTCATTCTCAGTTTTACGAGCAGTAGCCGACGATATAGTTGTAAATTTTACTATTTTTATTCTGACTTCATCATTGGAATGTATAAGCAAGAGTGGTGGTTGGATTTATGCATGCATTGGACTTGCCTAAATATATTTACATAAGTGTACATAAGGTATTGACTCGATGATTGTGAAGCATACATTTATACATGTGTAGATATAGATAGGACAATGTGTGCGTGTGTTCGTTATTTGATCTGAATGTGTTTTTAATGATATGCAATTTTATTTGTTGACAGTTACTGGCAAATCTTCACGAACTGATTGAGCAGAAGGGGGAAGCTGGCAAAGTTATTGAGAGCAAGTTACAATCGATGTCCGACGACTTACATTCTGTGCTCTTACAACATATTCAGGTGAGAAATAAGAAGAAAAAGAAGCATTGTGCATGTGGGGACATTTCAGTCGTGTCATAATCTTATTGTGAAGTTTGTCACTTTTTGCCACCTTTCATTTTCCCTCGTGGCACGGTTAAATAGGTCTCAGAGGTCTCGTCAATAATTATGCTAATTAATTCTAATTAACTGTTGCAGAAAAATATTGACACGGTTTTGGAATTGGGGTAAGTTTTACACACAACTTTAATGGACGAAAAAATATTAAATTTAAACCTCAACCCTTCTTTCAGTGAGGAAAGGTGTCCAAATTTGATGGGGGATGAGGACCTGAAACAAGAGATTAGAGAAGGATGCATAGAAAGGGCCGGCGTGTCCTCTGAATTTGTGAAACACTGTGTAATGGACATTGCTGGAGCTGATATCATCAACAAGTTGAAGTGCGTTTATATTTCACTTTACTAGAATAAGTTTGTGTCGTCATATATCACTGTTTTAGACCGAGCTGCAAATGCCATAAAATTTAAGCCTACATTTGATTTTTTTAGATAAGAGAGTAAGGGGAGGGTTTTATAGTGTTTTGTTAGGTAATGCTGTATATGTATATGCAAGTTATGTATATGTATATGTATATGTATATGCAAGTATGCATACACATACGCACACAACATTTGGACTGGACAGTGTACAGAGGTTTAATGAGGCAATATTTTGCACTGTGGATGGATGAGATCACCTGCAGATTTTACAACATACATGTAACAAGTTACGAAAATATTTAACACTACTGTTACGCGAGCCTAGGAAAAAACTGGAAGTGAAGTATCTATTATATTCAATTCACAAAGTTTAGATCAGCCAGCATTTTAGGAGAAATTAATTGGAAGACGCATATAAATTATCGTGTTTATATGAAAAGTAAAAAAAAATTAACGGTGGTGGTGACGAAGTGTGCACAATGGTCCTCACGTGTATGCCAATAATCGAAATCAATAAGTTGTTGAAGTTATCACAAATAGCTCGTCAGCGTGAGATTTGTTTGTGCTACTAAACAAACAATAGTCGCACATTACTGTTCAACGGTTTGCAAATTTGTTTAATTAATTACAGTGAAGTGAACTTGGCTGTAGCTGCGCACATCAGTGATAAACTGGTTGACCGTGCGATTGACTCTCTTATGAAATGGTAACAAATTTATGCGATTATTAAAAAAATAGATTTATTTATAATATCACAATTACATATTTGGAAACGTTTGAAATTTGTATGTGTTTTTCTTTTTTATAGCCATAAGCAATTGGTAAGTTTTGAAATGACTAGTAACAAGAGCAGCAGATTTCTCTTGACTTGACAGCATTTTTCTTTGTTTATGCGTACATAGAATGACGCGAGCAGGAAAAGGTCTTCAACACCGGATGTTTTAAAAAACAGGCTACGAACAAGTCCGAGTGATCTATCATCAAAAGAGATGGCTGATGCTGCAGTTGCAGTTAGCGAAGGAAATCTTCAATTTACGGATCAGTCCCCAATGGTAAGCAGACACACTAAAATCAGTAGGTGCGATGTGTATGAATGTGTATGAACATGGCGGAAATGTTGATAAATTAGACATAGTAATAAGTTAAGTTGTCTTCAAAATATGTTAGGGTTTGTTCATAAAGTATCTTACTTGTCTTATTTTCCCGGATGCTACCAAACAGAAATTGGATTATCTAAATCTCGTAAGTCTCACCCAGCAAAAGTATACATGTATTTAAGTCCAGTATTTATGTGTTTTTGGTTGCGATCTTATTTTAACCCTTGTAACTTTAATTTACTACCGTACAATTCCTCCACTGTGACTGATTACTACTGTTGTGAAACTACGCGCATGCAAATATATTATTCTTGGCATGTCATAATTTTAATAGTTGTTCAATTTTTTTAAATGAGTGTGCTATTAAACTAGTTGCGTTTTTTATGAAGGTCTCTTGATAAAATTTAGTTGGGCAGGTTGGTTTTGTGTATTTGTGTTATTTCCTAATAAAGCATGAATTTTTGAACATCTCGTACACATGAATTAGGCATAAGATATGTAATCGAAATGTTTTGTTTTCTTATAGGCAACGCCGCAGATGCAGGCTAAACGTAAAACTCATACTCATAGCCGTCGCATGAGACCTAAATCTGTTGTTGATTGCGTTGAGGGACTTTCTGCAGACGACATTCCAGATTTGTTGCCCAGTCTTCCAAAAACCATTGAAGGTACGATTCATTATTAGTGTATTGTTTTCACCCAAATTATGGTCAACTGCATTATTATAAACATATCCCAAACTAAATTATTCTGCTTTACAGAAACCATCTCACAACTTCAAGATTTACCACCAATATCCCCCCAGCAGTTGAAACATTTGGGGAAGGCTCGCCCCAAGAAACCAAAGACAAGAGCACCAACTCGACCTTCAGTGCGACCACCAACTGACCTTATTGAAGAGGAATCCTCAGATCGACACGTTGGAATAGAGACATTCTTTAGACCCGGCTCTGCAACGCCAATTGTCACCCCGGATTCTGATGAATGGTACGGATGAAATATTTATATGAATACATAATGTAAGACCACGGTTGACAATGACAATAATAACGATGCACTTTGTCCATGTAGCAGCACATCCTTAATGATATCCTTGACAAGTGAGACCGACACCAGCATTCAGTCTCCCACCCATTCCTCGCGAACGTTCAAAGCTGATGCCGATGACAATAACTCTGACCGCACAAGTCCAGGGTCTTTTGACTCTTGCAGTATCGCAAGTAAACTTTCACTGGATGCAGTTACTCGTTCAAAGTCCACAGATTGTTTAGAGAAAAAGAACAATTTGCTCACCCCAGGAGCTGGCTCAACCTCCGTCTCACCAGTTGGTGATGAAACTACCTCTTCTAGCACCGTCGCAGATGGACAAAAATCTCCGGTACAGCGAATTGGAGTGTCTGTTGTAGGATCCAATGTCTTGGCCGAGATGAAGGCCAAACAGGAGAAGCGAACTTCTGGCCTCTTCTCATCTAACTCCAACAGTATTTCGAACAAATTTAAAAACTCTGAAGACAAGGAAAGTGTGACTGTGACTCACTCATCGCTAAAAACTGAAAATAAATCCAGTACAATTGTCAACGTGAATATGAACAGCACTTTAAGTGGTAGTGGTGGTACGGTGACAAATTCTTCTAGTAGCGTTAGTGCTAGCAAAACTGAATCCTCGAACTCTGTTGTGAGCAAAACTAAAGAACACTTTTCCGGAAATAAGAATTCTATTGTGGCCAATGCTGCTGCAGCCCTCAATGCCAATGCTGCCAGTAATGTTAATAAAAGACCTCCCCCCGTAGCACCCAAGCCCCGGCCGTGGTCTGTGGTTGGTTCAGATCGTCGTTCAGGTTAGTTTTATCGCCATTGCCAAAATATACATGTGTGTATGTGTATATACTGCATACATCATAGTTTTAATCAAATCTCTCAACTCTGTCTACTTCTCAGGGGAGTTCTCGTTAAGTGACGGATCAAGTCCTCTTGGTTCAAATGCTAATACACCGGAATCTGGAGAACTACTGGACGACCATGGAGTGGTTGGTGGCAAAGTTTCACCAATGTCTCACAACAACACTTCCTCCGAACCCATGTCACTCCCACCTAATGTGACTACAGCGAAATTGTCCTCCTCGCCAAGTAATCAAACTATGAACCGTAGCTTGAATAGTAGTATCAACTCTACGAACAACAACAGTAGGGGTAGTACGGGTGGTGGTAGCCCTGGATCAAATTCAAATTCCAACTCGAATGAGGAAATCAGTCGGGCTGGAATCTCTCCAGTGTCCCTCCCGGTTTTAAGAGCTGTTGGGACTGAGAAACGATCCTCAGTCAAGGAGTTGGCAGGCATTATGGCAGCCTCATTAGCACGACAAAGTCAAAGTCAGAACCAAAACCAGGCGGATGAGCCGAAGAAGAAGGCTGATTCTTTGCCCAGAAATGTACCACCTCCCAGTTCCAACAATAGCACGGTAGAGAACCAAGGTTTGCATGCGAACGCTTTATTTGTTTTCTAGCAAAAATGAGAAAGATGATTGATTTACATCCCACCCAGTCCTCGTTGTTTCTGTACCTTTGTTGTTGTTTTTTGTGCTTATCATTCGTCAATCCCGTGTCCTCTATTATCCAATAATTTTATCTCCTCACCTTTCAATGAGTGCATGACGGCTGTGCGGCAATTGATTTTGAAAGTTTTTTCTCATTTTATTACTTTATTTTATTTTTACTTTTATGAATTATGTAACAAATTAGATTTCAACCGAGCGAGAGTTCAAGAATGGTCGAGGCATCATTCCATCAGTGAAGTCTGGAAAGTTCCTCTTAGGAAATTTTCCGCTGAGAAACCCGTAAGTTTTTTTTAAGTGGACAAATCGACATCATCTGATTGTGATGTGTGCTACATGGTCGTGCCTTTGTACTGATAGTGCATGCTGTTTGTCTTGTTCTTCCATTTTTAACAAAGTAGTCTTAAAATTTTCTAAAACTTAGTCTCGTTCCACTTTGCTTATGACAACATGTTGCTGGGATTATTACGATCATTATAATATTATTGCTACATTACCTGCGATCTACGTGCTTCCACCTGTCAGTCTGTCTAGTTCTCCAATTGTGGATACATATACGACTTTCTTGAATGAGTATGATAGCGTGACTTTGTTGATTCGAGTGTTACTTATGGATTCTCAAGAATTACGGCTAAAATGTGATTTTGTAAGTTAACTTCTGATGATTTCTTTAGGTAGCAAAGCCGTGGGGTCCAAATAACGACCAGAAATCCCCAACAAATTCAGATTCGTCTTTTGGAATCGGCAGATCTCTCAGGAAAGTTTCAAATGATGAAGACGTAGTCAATGTATGAATGAATACAGTACACAACCTACTTACCTATACGTACCCTAATCAATCTTCATGCTAGCGAACAAAACTGCATAATATTATGCCCACATCGCCAAACAATTGTGTTATTACTACTTTGTTCAACCGCATCGAATATATATAAGTTAAAAATTCCTTTGATATGGATAATTTTGATTAGTTATATATTTCTCGCAACTTTGAAAATATTCTACACATATGTACCGCTCCATCTACTTTATCTTGTAATGTTATTAAATATTATGTTTGTGTATATAATAATTATTAACCGTGTTTTGTTTCGCCGCGTGTCGTGGTATCTACTGATTCGTTTGTGTTATTTTTGTTCTAATGTGATAAGTTGTCAAAAGTCTACCTACATAGCATCAGTTGTTCTGTCGAGGCGTGCGTGCAATGAATTTGACTTGTGTAGTTATGTATGTAACCTTTCTGTACCTTCTTGGATTGACGAGAGTGAATATACGTTCAGTTGAATCAAAAATTAGACACTACCAATAATACACCTTATGAGGGATAGAACGGAACGATTTCAGTGTATTTTATTATCATTTACTAAAATCAATACTGCTTCAGCATGCTGATGAGCAATATATGTAGAATTTGTTTATAAGGTCTTCGGATTTACATATTATATATACGCGTGTTTTTGACAACAAATTATGACGCTAGGAATGCGTACCATGCAACATACACTATTATTATCATCTTATCCTGTTAAATTTACCCCATTTTAATTTGTCGTACCATTATAAAATAATATACATATATATATCCAATTACCATTTTCAAGCTTGTCTCACATCCAGTCAGAAAAAAAGTATATTGTAAGGACATCGCATGAACAACAAGTAAAAGAAATTATTTAACAACATTATTTGTGTTTGTTTTTTCTTCTGTCTAACAAATGTGCATATGTATACATTAATATAGTCATATCCAAATTATCGATTTAAAAATCAATTTATTCGAAGGATATTCACAGCTACAGGACATGCGGAGATCTAACCAATCACCGATAAATGCATCACGAAGATCTAGGTTGTTGCTGCTGTGACCTTTGCTCTGACGAATTTTGAGGTTGTTGTGACCCAGACCGTCTTGAATTATTTCCTCTTCCGGCGTCAATTATTTCTCTTCTAAGAGCGTCTACTTCGTCCCGAATGCTGCTCAGTTGTTCTAGCACACTTTTTCTCACCTGCAAATCAGAAATTCGAGTCCAACTTGATACATAACATGCATATTTCACAAACAAGAACAATGCGGCCAAGTAATTACGTCTTGTGGCGCTGATGAAAAGACTGGAGGATAAGATGCTCCCCGCGCAGGAGAATTGTGTCCTGGTCGAGATGTGCCCTGCTGCTGAACTGCTATTGGAGGTGGTTGAGTGGAGCCTTGTTGTTGGCTGTTTCGCGACGGTCCAGATGTATCTGTCGCAATTCCAAATTTATTTTCAAAGTTGGCAAAACTTGGAGAGACCGAGGTGCTTCCCAGCACATGTATATGAGATTCTCCGAGTTCTGGATGCAGGTGAAATCCTCCGACGGTGCTCATATCGGATTCAACCTGTCGTACAAAGGAATAACTGCATACTTCAGGAATTATGCAAATCAGAGACTGGGTTGGACATGGACACATGTACAATTAAATTCAAATATACACAGTCTAGACATATAAAAATAGGAGTGGACATAACTCACAGCGACGACATGCTCCTTGACAAATTCACTTGGCTGTACTACAAAATCCATCGCACTGTCGGAGACGTCCCGTCGTGACAAAAGCTCTATGGTTCCTGAAGCTGATGATGTGGCCTCAAAGTTGTTCAAAGGTCGTCCACCAGCAACGCCACCGCCGAATATTGGGGGGCCTGATCCTCCTGAGCTCATAGCACCCAATCCCACAACAGCTATTTGGCTTAAAATAGTTTTATTGGGGTCGAGAACTACATCACTAACAATGCGATGGTGTGAAGTGTAACCCTCCGATTTAGCTTAAATTTTAAAATTAGGTGGTCCAAGCCAATACAACTAACGTTTCTTCAGGCAGTTTGTGCGATGGTGAGAGTTACTCAAAATATTTGAGGTCAAAGTTCAAAAAACGGCCGACTTTTTTCAGGCGGAGTGAGAAAACTCCACTTCCAGTCTCTTCCCCTCGCTTTGATTTGCAGGTGTCTCGCTCACGCATACGCCTTCATGCACAAGCACAGGCTTTGATGCAAAATAATAAAAAATAAAAATTATTAACTACAGCTTAAAAAGCAATTAATACGCATTCTACATAATTTAATTCATAATTAAATAAGTGCGATTTTTACTTATTTCTAGTACAAATTTACATAAAGTTAATTTATAAATTCGCCAACGGCAAATAAACATGGAAAAACGTAACTTGCTTTCCATTTCGAACGCGTTGGTTCTAATATCCAATTAATTTATATTTTAAGTGCTCCTGTGTTTGTTCCAATGATTCGATATTGTTGGTACTCGAGCGGATTATGGGGTGATGACGAAAAGCCCGAGTTTAAAAATGTAAACGACGTTTGTTTTAGAGAAAAAAAATATTAGTTGCGACCTGAATTGTGGCAATCCCACATTCATCAAATTCAGCTGGTGCAGTTTATCGTATTGTTTTGTGGACTTTTATGAAAATAATCATATGGTCACATGTACAATGAATAATTAATATTTTTCTACAAAAAAAATTAAATTTAAAATTGTTGAAATGAATTATTTTTCGGAGTGAAAATCAAAGCGAAGGGAAGAGACTGGAAGTGGAGTTTTCTCACTCCGCCTGAAAAAAGTCGCCCGTTTTTTGAACTTTGACCTCAAATATTTTGAGTAACTCTCACCATCGCACAAACTGCCTGAAGAAACGTTAGTTGTATTGGCTTGGACCACCTAATTTTAAAATTTAAGCCAAATCGGAGGGTTACACTTCACACCATCGCATTGTAAGAATGCACAATAAAAATACTTTGAAAGCATTGATCCATCTCATCGTGTGTCGAAATCGGATTCAATTACCTTAGTTCCTCTACATTAAGAGGAGGGGATATTATTTGATAAGAGTCGACTGGTTGTGGAAATTTGTAAAATAAGTTTTCTAATTCGTCACGACCATCATTTTCTCCGCATGCAAGGCGTCTGGCTGATTCTAATTCACGAAACTACAAGAATAATTTAATAAGACGTTGAGTGGTAACATTCATTGCATGAACTACATTGGTTGTGGATAATGTCATTCAACAATTTTTATTAAGAACTACTAGAATTTTGAACGTGCGTGCAACGTACTGCTGAGCTTACAAGCAAGTACATAATTTACATATACTGAATAATTGTTCAGGTGACGTTGTTCCCAGAGTAACTGGACGACTTTTAGTGACATCATGACGCCGTCATGATAAGTGACAGCGATAATTTCACTGACCCATTATTATAACCGAAACCACGATTGCTTGACTTTAAGTATCTAGGTAACGCGTCTCCCTTAACGGTTGCGACAAATGGTCGAGTTGCAAAAAAAATATTCATTTTAAAAATTATTTTAAAATTGGTTTTTCTCCCATGGACGAAAAACCAATTCTCGAGCCAAAATATTAAAAAAATAAATTGTAACCCACGACAATTTTAAAATGAACAATCATTTTGTAACTCGGGCATTTCTCGTAACCTTATACAGCGATAAAGTGTCAAATAATCTTGAACCGAAACCTTTTACAATTTTTGGTATCTATTTAATAATAAATGGGAACGTAGTCAATCGAGCTTAATTGCTTTAAATATCTAAACAACCTGAGAAAGTAGTGCAAAAACTTACTTGTTTACACAACATCAAATTGACCATGGTTGATGCGATACGATTTACGCTGTTGTTTGACCTCATTATGACGCTCTCATCGTCTCCAGCCGCAAGACGATCCATCTCATCCTGAGCCTTCTTTCTCTGATATTAAAATAAACGTGAATATAAATAATTTCAACGTTCATTGAGAGCAATACTATGCAAATGTGCCTGGATACTAGAAGTAGATTCCGTATTTAATTCAATAACTAAAAGTAATTGGTACAGTGCATTATTTGCTTACTTGCTCCTCGATAATTATTAGCACGAGATCACACAAAGAATTTTCAAGCATTTCGTAGTCTGAAATAGTCGAATTATCGGGTCGTGATGGTGCAGGTGATGAGGCACGCGTCTGCTGCTCATTTATTTCATCTGACAACGCGTTACGAGGATACACAGATTTGAGTTGTTTTGATTCTTGTGGTACTTGAAGATAATGCATTTGTGGCTCTAGGATACTTTGTACTTCGGCTGGTGTATCGGTAATAAAATGCGACGACGAGTTTTGAGATATGTGTTCAACTAAAGTATTGGATTCCGTATTTCGTATTAGGAAAGATTCCTGAGATTGTTCTTCTGAACCCAGAGTTAGAGTATCATTAGCATCATTATCATCATCATCAAGTACAGAACTGCTGGTGTCTTCAGCTTCCGGGAAACTTGTATCATAACCTGATGGTCTTGCGTTAGGCGTGGGTTTGGGAGTTCTCAAAATAATATGGGAGGTTGGTAAGGTTTTGTGGTGGTGGTCGTAGTCACCCCTCGCAGTGACCTCACTCGCCTTGATCTTAGGTCGGTTTCTTAACAAAAGTGCCCTTCCGTAACGAGCTTTATATTCCTGTAGCTCTCTCTTTGCTTTAATGTAGATTTCCAACTGTGACAATTAATGCAACTTAAAATTTAGGCAATTTCGTTATGTTCTCATAAGTGCCTACTTCTTCCTGTTTTTCGATCTTTTGCTTCTCTTCCAAAGTCATTTTTGTCAAGGGTGGGCAGAGGTGTTGACAAAACCACTGAAGTGTCATGTCCCTCATTCGTTTCATCTGCTCGTACTGCAAATACAATATTAGATGATAACAATGATAACAAACGAAGAGAGCATGGACCTACCTGCAATATCATCAGACGAACCCTTGTGTTCAGTTGAAGGGCTTTATGTTTCTCTTCGATGAGAACGAGGGCCAAAGCTTGATCCTGGAGGACTCTCAGAGCTGATTCCTTTTCTCGTACTCGACATTCAAGCTGTTTCAATTCTGTCAAATTCTACGTGTAGACAATTTAATAGAAATTAGGTAACTACTTTACTATAACGTATCGTAATAGATTGTTACTGTCAGTGATGAAAAAATTAATTGTGTATTACGCTCTGTGCTTCCTTTCTATACAGGTTGGCTTTGGTCTTGTATTCATTCTTCTCTCTAGTTAACCATGATTTTATGCGACTTTCTTGTTCTAACTGAGGGTTATTCATTTTCCGCTACAATCACGAAGTCAAAAAGTTTGCAATAAAAACATAGTGAGAGTAATTGAAATATCTAACATTACCCAACAAAGGGTATATTGCTTAATACTACATACATACAATGTATGTATATTGCTAAATTGAATACCTGTTTGTGTCAAATCTTTTTCGATTTTGGACTTGTGTGCTATTATAAAAAGTCTATATCTAAATGAAATCCAGGTTTTGTATTAATAAAGTCTTTGTATTTTAGCTTTGCATATTCATTATACACATTCAACGCAATTGACACTTATTACTAATGCCTTATTTTATCAATGGGTTTTTGTCAGGATTCTTCAATCACTAACGGCTACGCCGGTGTTTCTTTATTGGGACACCATAAATCTTGATGTCCAATAATTGACAATAAACTTGATGTCCAATAATTTGTTATATTTGTAGTACGCAGTAGTATTTGCTGGGTGTAAAATCATATCGATTGTTGTAATAACTTTATTCAAAAAAGAGAACATGGTAGACGACGGAAGTATAATGTATGCATATTCATTATTATTATTATTAAGAATTATGTCGAAGGACGGTGATTTGTAGAAAATAAGCGTGCGGGTTCCTCACTAACATTTGCAGCAAAATTAATTTCATCGGCCTTTGGAGGATCAAGAAAAGATGTTGTTCGAAATGAGGTTTTATTGGGAACAATAACATCATCTTCATCAGACGACGCTTCCAGTAAAGGAGAAGCAACAGAAGACGCTCCAAAACTGTGACGATGTGAGTATGACCGTTTTTGACTGGCTGCTGCTGCTCCCGTGTTATCTTTATCTGTCAAAATTCCAGATATTCTAGACTTACTTCTTGCCTTTTTGGTTGGCGAAATTACGGTTGGTAGATTATAATGATCTTGATGGAGAAGATTTTTCTTAGCATCTCCTTCAGCGAACAAAAATGGGAAGTACTGAATACGACCGCTACTCCAGGCCTGTATAAAAATGATGGTAGATATCAATTTAACGTAATGATCATTAATCACATGTTGATGAGGGCTGTAGGTCATATATCAATAGATACTATACAATACTATTTGTCAATTGTACGAAAAAGAACAATAATCGTATGTACTGATGTGCATTAGACACTTATGGTTATGCTTACGATAGTTAAAAGAGCTCCATCCTTGAAATCCTTTTGAAACGTACTGGTTAAAGGATATTCGTCAGGAAAACCTCTTATAAATCCACATGGCGCCAAATAGTAAATAGATTTGGGCTGAATTCTGAATACAGCAATAAGCTCAGAATCATCGAAACAAACTGCAAGTCGATTTCCATTTGGGTCCATATCCATTCTTCGCACGCGCCCTCCAACCCTGACGATTTTTTTTACATGATATATTATTTTTGATTTGGTATTATTTCAAAAAATATATAAGAACAAAGAATAAAGGACCAACTTATATTCTAGCTGTTCATCTTCGGAAAATACTGTACAGTCGGATATATCGTATAGTGGGACAGCAACAGAATTATTTTCATTAATAAATTTTTCCACGGGATTCATCGCAAAGTGAACGGCGTATATCATTTGCCCACTGGCAAATAAAAGCGTAGTGGCATCAGTATTCCAACAAGCAGATTCAACTGCTACTTTAGGGGTGTCCCATCGCCTCGGAACCCAATGAGTTTCGCGTTCCCAAATCCTACATAACCATATGAAATGGGTTAGAAAATCCTTTAATAGTAATTGGAAATGCAGTGACATGCCTAAAAATCGAGGTGGGACTTGTAGCTAGGATTTTGTCGTCGGTTGGTGCCCACAAAATAAACGGAACTCCTCCACCTCCCAATCGATATAACGGTGTATTATTCCAACTGCTAGCATCCCAAACGTAGATAGACATGTCAAAACTTGAGCTAGACAGAAGTAAAAGTCCCTGAAAGCAGAAAACAATAGGTAAAGAATACTATATTTAATTGATGAACGCCATTACATCAACAAGAATATATTTATACGCAGGCAAACTTACAGAGTGAGAGTACTCTACACAAGTTACAGGAAAATGATTCTTCATTGATAGGAATCTAGATTGTGAAGCTGCAGGTTTGATCTTGTTTCCTCTTTCTAATTGCCATATGACAATTCCTGTGCCAACTCCAACAGCCAACTGGAAATGCGTGTAAGGTCTAAGCAGATTAAGACAACAAATAAGATAAATTAAAACAACCACTGCCCATGAAGTGGGCAGTGGTTTAAATAACTTAGAATTTCCAAATACTTGCCTCCACGAAACACTCGAAACATTCTTTTGTTCTGGACATCGTAACAACGGCATCACGTCTTCGCCCATTTCACATAACCTTACAGAGTCATCTTGCAATGCCAAGGCCAATTTAGGAAAGTTTGGATGCCATGCTACAGCTCTAAGCCAAGCTTTGCTCCAGTTCCTAACTTGCGATGCATTCTGGATAGTCACATCTACGTTCAACTTTATAGAAACATATTTTAAATTACTGGACAAATATTTTCGGATAAATTGGGAATGTCTATCTGCATTCTGCAACAATGCATCTTACTTTTAGATGTGGAAACGCAATGACCATTGCCTCGTGTTTTAGCTTATATGCAGCATCTGTAATTGACGCCAAAGCAGCCAAACATCCGTATAAAACGTTAACAATGGGATTCTTTTCAACTTGCTGTAGATAACGCTCCAGTCCCCGAAATCCGGAATCTCGACTTGACAAATATTATTCAAGCGTTATTTTAAGAGCCAATTTTTGGTTATATTCATAAACATTAGAACTTCTAATTACCAAGAATCCCACATTCCTTTTACGAGTCCTTCATCTTTCCTGATTATTAAAGTTTCCCCAGTTCTCGTTGTTCGAAGAGGGGGTATTTTGTTTTGAAAAATCGGCTTTAGAGTATTTGCATTTAATTTTCTATACGAAGAAACCTATAATATATCGTATATATTATTATACATACATGTTATAATTATTAATATGTATAAACCTTATCACAGAACTGGGCTCCATCAACTGGGTCATTGGAGTTGGAAGGAATCGCAATAAGCTGAGCTCCGTATTCGGCTAATGTAATGTTTCCAGGACTGGGAACTTTTGGAAACTCCTTTAGTGTAGATTGAGACATTTTAAACTTCCTTCAGTAGATTCCCTGTTAAAATTAAAAATTAAGTAACAAACACTTGGTCAAATTAATAAAATATTTAAACATAAGAAAAAAGCCCAATCTCACATCTTTGTATTATTATAATTATATGGATAATAAAATTAAAACAAACTAAAGTTTTTGAGAAAATTATATTGTGTAGTTCATTATATATTTATTAAGCACTTGCAAAACTGGCAAAGTATATAAAGAATTAAACGTACATGCAATTCAAGTAATTAAATTAATAAAACAATCGATGCAACGAGAAGGAAATATAATAAATAATTATTATATCCTAAAACATTTTAAACTGGAAAATATCTTTGCACCAAATCTTAGCTCGAATGCCAAATCAGTCAAAAATTTGAGGGTGTAAGCGTCCTTTTCAGATTTCTTCGCCTCGTACATAATTAAAAGAAACATTCTAACGTCAATTTTGTGTACAAAGTAGGTCACTTGTATCTGTGAATCAATCGAGAGAAGAATTTACTAAAATGCCAAATAGCTGTAAAGTAATCAAGGATATGTTTATACTAATTAAATGTGCGTATGAGCTTACGCGAGAATCAAAGATTGCAACAGTTTTATCGGCCGCAAGCTCATTAGCTTTATCACTAATTATCATCACAATGCTGGGCCAATGTTGAACCGGTTTCTAAAATGCAATACGTTGACAAAAATAAATTGCACATCTAGTTACATGCAATAACGATTTCAAATTTTCCTTACTGCTGGAACAGAAACAATGGAAGGGAAAGAATCAAGTCCTTCTACAAGTTCAACTTCTCGACCAGGAAATCGATAGCCATTCCGATAAAAAGATGTCTCTCTTGCATCAAATACGATACAGATGCACAAAGCATCCGACTTTTTTTGGAAAACAGATATTCTATCAAATGTTGAGAAACAAACTGTAATAATTTTCAGCCACTTGAATAGAGTTTTTTAAACTCAAACAAATTCCTTCCTTCCTACCAACCTGCTATAGTAGTCCACAGGCAGTTTTGTACAGTAGTTCCTTATGTCATAATTTGAATTTGAATGTTTTGATAATAATTCGTAAAAATACAAAGTGTATTTTGAAATTAGCATTCCCTTTAGTTTTTTAATCCACAGAAACAACGTTGGTAATGTTGGGGTAGATGAATAAAATGATGACTTTCTCACTGTCTGGAAATTAAATTGAATGAATTTATTTACTCGCGTTAAAAACAGGTAAAACGTAAATGATGATGCTCGTAAAACGAAAATAAAAAGTACCGTCGAGTTAGACTGAACAAGTTCACTCCATTCTTGCAAATTTGAATTGGCCAACTGTATTCCTACGGTTGCATCCAGATAAGACCAAGTTTGAACAGCATGAATCACCTTCAAAAGGTTACACATGGTTTGCAACTCCCAGCTACACAATGAGAACACGTGTTTGGTTAGGGTATAGTAATAACGTCTAAATAACAGTGAAATAAGATAGTGTATGTATATTTTACTTGACAGAATTCAATATGCCTTGCAAAATGGCTACCGAGTCTCCAATAGAATTTTGTTCCTCCGAAAAATTTTCCAGTATAGTTTCAATATCCGTGATTAGGTCAGAAATTTCTACGTTTTTAGCGGATCCATATAACGACAACTTTTCATAGCTGTAGATAAATGGGGTAGTAACAACGTTTATCAATATGTACATATTTACCCACGGATTAAATACATAATAAAACAAACTTACAACTCCATCATTTCTAAGCGTAAATTAATCAAAACTAACAGCGCAGCAGCAACTTCCGGATATGAATGTTTCGCAGGCAGGGAGGTAACACTGGACTCGGAAATTTTCTTGAGATCAAGCTTTACAGAATCCAATATTGACTTCAAATTCGACTATCACAAAATAATGAAAGGATGCAAAATTAGTATATTTTACAGATTATAAAACAGACGACGCGATTAAAACTGATGATTAAAACTTAAAACTGATGTAAAAACACTCACATCCTTTCTAAGAAACCCCTTCGGAGCCAGGAATGTTAAGTTTACATAAGCCTTTTCCGTCTGAGACAATTGGGCTAGCGCCGTAGTAATGATAACCCAGGTGAAGCCTGAGGACGAGCCTTTCTTGAGGGCCCGCTCCTTCTCCTTCTCTGCAATCTCCCTTCCCCTGTCGAAGGAGAAAACTGACAACTCTGACCAAAATCGACCTAAGCAGAACCACAACCCAGGGACAATGATAGGAATAAGTATCTCAATAGATTTAACACAGCCTAACTAATCAGTCGATGCTTCGTGGGTGTAACAGTATCTTACCAAAAAATGCCTCAAATTCGTCAACTCCATCATCACCGATGTTAATTGCTTCGTCATCAGCAGCAGCCCCAGAAGAAGACATTTTCAAGCAGAAAGGTTTGAACGACACCAAAAGAGTTGTTCTAGTTTGAAAGCTGATTTTCAACAATGGAATTCACATAATTTCAACGGGCCTTATGCATAAAAATAGTAAATACTTTAAAATTTCCAGCTACAAAAATAATTTGACAGGGATAAAAAACACTGACTAAGGAATAAGTTGAGGTTTGCATTATTTTGCACTTTTGCAGCAATCTTTGCAATTAAAAATATTATCATATTTCACACCCACGTTGTTTAAAACAACTTGTTTTTGAATATGCTTGTTCAGAATAAGAAAGAATGTTGCATGTGGCTCACAGAGACATAATCCTGGTGTCGTGTAAATAACAATTAGAAAGCCAAATGTTGAGATTTATAAAATAAAGAATAGGGAATAATGCAACAGTGGATTGATAGTGCACGAAACGAACAAAGATTGAATATAAAAATGGTTTTACCTTTGGTATATTTCGTCCGATAAAGCCTGAAAAGATCCCCTTTGAGAAATTTGGCACTAAATTTCAATTGTTGCAAAAAATTCATCCAGACGCTGTTAAATTCGAAAGAAAACAAACTGTAGCAGGTCGAAGGCTTACTAAAAAAACGACGGACAAGATTTTCTACCGCCACAATTTAGCCTGAAAATGGGCTGTCGAGAAACGTAGGCGACGTGTTGAGGTCAATGGGAAAAGCTGCGAATTTGCATTGCGTGTTCCGCTCCTGGTCTACGCAGCAGGCGAGAGAAATTATCCAACTCTCTCAACAGAGCGAGCAAGGATACCGAAACATCTGCTGGCCGTCCCATTCTAAAAATTCTCTCCTCACGACGAGTCGACGAGAAAACCATTTTTAATTAATTGCTAATTGAATAGCTCCTTCTTCCGGTCGTTCGAGGTCGACAGACTTGCAAACCGACAGGTGAGTGAAACATCAAAATTAGTCATTTCGGTGAGGTGTTTAGAGAACACTGTGTTTATGGTTTATTAAATAAACTTTATTTCTTAAATCTTAATAATAGAATTTTGAAGTAAACTTTTAAATAAGTTGAAATCTTAGTATATTTGATTTCTCGTTTTCTTACTTTTGTATCGCCTTTATTATTGAGTAAAGGAAGGAATTCTTTAATTGCAATTTGTTATGTGTTAGAATGGCTGTTCCACAAATGCGAGGATTTGTCGTGAGTCGATTTAAGCGCGACATGGTAATTACGACGGTAATTTCGATCGCTGCAATGGTGGCTTGGAGAGTGGGAGTGGTTCAACCTCACAAACAGAGATACGCCGATTTTTATAAGTTAGTAAAAATTATAATTATTATTTATTACATTTATGCACGACCAAACATAATATGGTCATTTGTAATTATTTACTCGTTTGTTCATTTCAAACAGGACGTACGATGCCATGGCCGATTTCGAAAGAATGAAAAAAGCCGGAGTTTTTCAGTCAGTGTCTGCTGACGAATAATCATCTTACCTTACCTAGAACAATTTCTTTAATTAATTTAGTTATTCGTTAAGCAGCAGCCATATAGTCAACGTATTGCCGATGTGTGTAAAACAAATGTAAAAATTATATGTGCGACATAATAATCATCCATCTCATTGCTAATAAGAAGATGACTCTAAATTCCAACGAAGAAAGCGGTATTCATGTTATTTAATCCAACCACCGCAAACCATCATGAATGATCTATTTCGTCGGAGATGAAACTTGTAGTAATAAAGTATATAAATAAATTATACAGCATTGTATAATACAATTTGTATTAAACAATAATTTACAACAAATTATAGTCAGACTAGTCAGGCATCTCTGCGGTATTCGGGGACAATTAGTATACTTGATTTTATTTGAAAATTGCTAGCTTTCAATTACCCAGTCATTTTCATCGGGCATAAATATTATTAAATATAAGATTTTGAAACTTTACAAAAATTTGTAACAAAACAAAGTCATCATCATCATCAGTTCATCAGAAGTACTTATCATTGTGTTCAGAGCATCTGCATTTTGTCATGATTTGATTATTGATTTGACGAACATTGTCCTACTGAATGAAAATTTCGTATCCACCCAGACCTTAATAGTGACCACTTAGCTTATAATAGTTTTATTACCAGTGATATTTATTATTGTTGGCGAGTGTTGAGAAAAAGCGGGGCGAACATTGCACACAGCGGCCGAACAATATGCGGTTTTACATAAAGTCGTTTGCAATTTTTTTGAAATTATTTTACATGTTCGAGATCATTTAACCATAATCAGTTCGAGCGACTAGTCAGAGAGAGAAATTGCCCCTTTGCGGGTGCGGTCATATTTTTAACACAATATGTGTATACTTGTGTATGTGGAAGTTATCAGTTCTACCACTTCAGGGTTAGAATTCGACGAAAAACTTCATCCTATGGAAAAGAAATACCAATAGAAAAGTTGGTTTTGGTGTTTGAATTTTTAGAAAATTTTTAGAAAATTGTCAATAACATAAATTAAAATTGACCATATTAAGAAGATAAGCTATTTGCCGATAAACATGAAGATTGGCGCATGTATCCGCTAAGTCGACACAAGGACGAATTTGTTGACATGTAGGACGTCTCCGAGGTCACTATGGTCCAGGATTTAAGGGAGAAAAAGAGCCTGAAAAGGGTCGAGGGACTTTATTCCGAAACGGTATATTGTTGGGCTGGTGTGTGCGTTGTTGGGGTTTAGGGGTTGCGGACCGGTAGCACTAGAGGGTGGCTTGGCTGGTTGCAGGAGGGCGCATGAGTTTTCTTCCCTTCCTCGCTCGAGCAGCAGCAGCAACCAAGTAAAGCTATTCTTATGTTCTCTCCTCTGTTATAAGCTATACAAGCAGACATTGCAAATGGCAGCGGTTCCCTTCTTCCCATCCAGTTGCATCAAAAAGTGCAATAATATTATGCACCAGTCCCCCCACGGTTTCGGTAAGTCGGTTATCTTGGTCGCAGACTACCTGCTCCGTCTTCTCGCCACACTTTCCTCCCTTCCTGCTCTACAATTTCCCTCAGATTCGGAGGGAATCGCGGATTTCGCGATTCCCAAAAATAATCCCCCACAGCAGTGGGGGTTGGTTTGGGGGTGGTCAAGATGGTAGAAATTGGGAGAGTTGCCTTTGTGAGGGAGAGTGAGGTTGGATTTTTGACGCTGTGACCTCCCAAAACGAAGAATTCGGTTTTGTTTATATTCGGACAAATGGGTGGTTGGGGTATTGCGAAATTAATTGAGGTGACGGGTGAAAATTCGGTGTTTTTGTTGTTTTGCGAAAAGATGGGAGTGACAGGTGGGTTCTGGGGCTGAGATTCCCTTAATCTCTCTTTAAAAGTTTAGTACAAAGTGTAGCTACAAGTAAGAGTGGAAATTGGGTATCAGGAAGGTGAATTTGATTTGTAGGTGTTTTTTTAAAATTAAGTTAAAAGTGCGTAAATGCTGATTGTGTAATATACTGAACAAATTTAATTTTAAGGGGCGGTACATCTTCTCAGGAGTGTGATATAGATAGATATAATGTGTGGTAGACGGATTGGGTGGTTGAAGTTATTTTGAAAAAATCTAACGGATATTTGCGATTTAAATGGTGTCGTTTAAATCACAAGTCTGTGGCTTAATCTCAATAGTCAATTACTAATGTTATTTCTTGGTGTTTTTTTAGATGCTGTGATCTATGATGAAAGTATCAAGTGGGTCGCGATTTAAGGAGAAACTTACGATTTTTCAGAAATGGCCCCCGGGGATGAGAGCAATCTCATAGAAGCAGTTGTCACGTGTGAGGGAAATCTTCAAGACCCCAACTTTTCGGAACGATTTCAAATACTTATCTTAGATCTTAAAACTTTGCTACGTAAGAACTATCTCTTCACTATATGTACTTGCTAAAGGTCAACTTGCCTAATAAAACCCTTACGTGACATTAAAACTACTGTTGTTTAATAGGAGAAGAAGAATTAGTAAAGGTAAAGAAAATTGAACCATGGAACTCCGTACGAGGTAAGGGCGAATGAGTTGAAACAGTGACCCGGGAATGTGTGGAGTTTGGTTTATTTCATGATTAATGATTTCAGTGACGATCAGTATTACCAAAGAGGCGGCCCAGAAACTGAAACAGCTTGCCCAACAAGGGTCGCCTGTACTCAAGTCCCTCGGTATACTCACTGTTCAGGTGGATGGGGATCAGGTAAAGAGATTTCTTGATTACCTATAGTAGTGTAGATAGATGAATACCCACTAGCGCAGGCTCTACGATTCAATCCAGGCTAACACTAATACCTTGTTGATCTCACCTAGCTAATATCTTTAACTATCGCTGGCCAAAATAATCAGTCGACGGAACTGATCCTACGAGAAGATGGACCACAAGCCGCTTCTTCTTCTTCTACGCCAGCGTCGACGTCCCACCACCTGCCGCTTTTACAACAACAAACGCCATGCCCTCCACCTCAACACGCACCACCACATGCTCCCTCTGGTCCACATGTTCCCTTGGGACTCCTCTCGCCATCTCCCTCCTCCTCAGCCTTCATACGTAGTCCAAACGTTGTGGTAAATTAACTCGTTGGATATTTAATTTCTAAAAAATATTATATTTGATAAATATTATACTATTCTGCTATAGGCTCCGGCTGGAGAGTCCATCCCTGTGTTACCACCTAAGTCCACTTCATCGTCAACATTCACACCTCACTCACGCCCTTCGTCATTGGGACTGGGGGGCCCATTCCCTTTCGCCAGCATGGCGCATGCTGCTCAAACTATGCAAAGGACTGATCACCCCAACATGTCCTCTTCTACTACTACTGCCACGCATTCAATAAGTAGTAGCAGCAGCAGCAGTGTAACTAATATTAATCTTCATCAAGCAGTCAATAGTACAAACTCCCCAACGGTTATGTCGCCAGCAACTCCTTTAACGGCGGCACCAAACTCATCATCACAAATAAACCAGACATCAACAACATTCTCTTTCCCTCCACATCATCAAACCGTTCCGTCGTCGTCGCCACACAACTCTAGGGCTCAGTTGAGCAATTCTTATCAACATCAAGTTAGTGGCTCGGGTGCCCTGAAAAGTGAACAGTTAGTGCATCGGTTTGATGGAGGAGGAGGAGGAGTGTCCAATAATTCGTCTCCCAGTCTCAATCCACCAAGTCAGAGCTTACAACTTCAAATTGTGAATGCTCCACCGCCTTATCCTGGTGTGAATAGTGGTCGTGGAAGTAACAATGTGAGTAATGCTAATAACCTAAATCTTAATTTATCCTCCTTGCCCAGTGGTGGTAATGTCAATGTCAATCAACATCATCTACAGCTGAACGCGAACAATAGTGCTAATTTACAAGGTGTGAATGTGGAACGATCATCAGGTGCTCCTTTCTCCTCCCCTTCAGTGGTGTCCTCCTCCTCCTCATTCAGTAACAGTAGTGGTAGTAGTAATATGACCCTTATGAGATCTATCAGCAGCCCAACCATGACCTCTTCTTTATCTGCTACTCACAAACAACACAGTAATATGCTCATCACAGAGAGCAGTAGTAGCTTGCTGGGCTCCTCATCGTCACAGCAGCAACCAATGTCCAGCCCACTGTTGGTGAACTTGCTCCAGAACAACGAAGCTCTTGGTGGAGGTGGCTCATCATCTACGAACCAAGGTCAAGGTTTGATGAACATAATGCTTCCCCCAGGCTCTTCTTTGGAGCATAAAAAGCTGATTCTAGCCCAACATTTGCAAGCACGAAAGGCAAAGAGAGGTCTCAGTTTAGAGAGTGCTTCCCTTGTGGAAGGGGGCGGACAGTCTAACATTGGAGGCAATGTCATCATGGTGGGTGGCTCGTCGTCAGAATTATTAGGGAGTTCACATAATAGTGCTGATGTAGCTGCTGGGACTCTAAGTGATCGAGCTTCTCCTACCCTGCTACACCAAAGTCAAAATATTGTTGGGGTGGAAAACAGTAGTAGTAAATCATTGACAGAAATCATGCCTTCAATTCCATCGTCATCCGAGTCGTCGACCCCAAGTCAGGCGTTTCCAACTAGGATGACCAATGTCCCATCAATATCTGTTGGTCATCCCAGACCCTCATCAGATCTTTCCACCACCGCAACAATTTTGCATGGAAGGACAATCATCCATCAAGGAAACGTACGGGTTTTCAATCCGGGTCAGATTCGAGCGATAAGGCTGCCTCACACAAATACCACCACCAGCAATAGCGGTAGTACTATTACACCACCGCCCAACAACGCAAACTCTCCATCCTCATTCATCCTGGGGAAATCCTTGATGACAACGACTCAGCCTGTATACGGTGGCAGTGGTGGTGCTGGGGAAAGTTTGGTAGAAGATCATGTGCTTAATGGACCCAAGAGCAACAAGAGTTTCCAGCATTTTCAGGCTCCTCCCCATCCTTCTCCCCAGTCCTCTTTCAATGCTACTTCATCCTCCTCCTCCTCCATGCCCTCCCCAATGTCAACAGAAGGGGTGGTGAAGCTGGAGCCAAACGTGAACTATTCTGCGGACCAATCTTCTCGTACCTCTATGGATAATATGAATATAAATTCGGCTACCACTTTGTCAAGTACTGTGACATCATCATCAATAAATAGTAATTTTGTTAGCCATAGCACTAGTTTACGTAATATCTTCATTCCACCCTCGTCGTCGATAGATTCTACCACAAATACCACCTCCTACACGACAAATCATATGAGACTGTCCCCACCCAAGCCAACCATTCAAGAAAGACAACAAGCGCAAAGTGCTGTGCAAGTGCAATCACAAGAAGCCAAATTATTTCCTAGTCAGCATCACCACCAGAACCTCCCATATAACATATTGAAGGGCATGAACTCTTCAAACCTACTGCTACCCCCTCCCACTACTACGACTGCTACCAGCGCAGGTGGGAAACGTCGTCAGCTTATAAATCCGTTGACTGGACATTTAGAGCCGATGCCCAGTGAAAGCAGTTCGGAGAGTGACGAGGATGGTAATAATTCCAATAAGAGAAAAGTTAAAGGAAGTCGAGGGAAGACGGGACGAATTCGGGGTGGCGGCATAATACCAACCGGTCCAGGAGCGATTCAGCACCGTCAAATTGTAAGTAATTGCACAAATGGCCCTACTTATTTCATTATTTCTACCAATTCCGTAGCTGGGGATTGATACAGAGTTATTAAATTAAACTGTCCTACATATAAAACAAATCTGTTGCATATGGTACTGGGCGTCCGGTGACCACACTAATGAGAGTGACGGTAATGACCCTCAAAGATCATATGCCCCTGTGAAGCTACACCATACCCGTGACACCCTTCAAGCGAAGAGTAAAAAAGATATTTCAAGGGATTTTAATATCCGTTTTTCGTTCGAAAAAGTTCACGTGTGAACGGGAATTTAAAAAAATCGACACCATAAAATTTGAGGGTCGTGGTTCTTGGAAACCTGACAGAGGCAGAGGGTCAGAACCTATGTAAAAAAAAGACTACACATGAATTCACAAATTGATAAATTTGCAAGGATAACAATCATTTTGAAATTATTAAATGTATAGTTAATATTTTTGTAAATAGGTCACAACCACAACAACTGGGGTCACTGTTGCTCGTGTTCTCAAGTCCATGGGGGGAAATGATTCTCAAAAGTTTGTATCGGAAGATCGAAATCATTTTCCTCATCAAAATTGTCTAACTGTGGTCCCCGTAACGATCTCATCTCCCTCAGCAGCAACATCCAATATGCAAATAATGTCCCGGAAGTCATCTCGTGACGAAGGAGTTGTTGATATGGGCTTAGCTACGATCACCTCCTCTTCTAAGGACAAAGACCCCTCTTTGGTGACGTCTATCGCCGCCGCCACAACCACAACTACGTCCACGCACACCCACCACCACCACCAACAACAATTGACAGGGAAGGAAGCTAAGCAGCTAGAACCACCTGGAGAAAAAATCAAGTTGAGACTTAAATTGGAGAAAAATGAGCCAATTTCTCCAGCTTACAAAGTGGACGTGTCGTTTCTCAAGAAATCTGAAAAGGGTTCTGCGACCACCACCAACGCGATACCAACTGGTTTGCCTACTTCTTCATCTGGTGCTTCAACTACGAGTGCTATCTCCACTGGTTCAGTTATCAGTAATCCAAGTTATTCGTCGCCGTCAACTGTATCGTTGCCTACAGATCAGCCACGAGTCCCACCCCTTCATATTTCCCTTCGAGGCAAGAATGCTGCGGTGGTTGTGAGCTCGCCTCGAAGAGATGACGATTCCTTCTCGGCATCATCATCCCAACTTAGCTTTATGGTGGATGGAGTAAACAAACCTGGAGCTCGAATCCTTGGGAAGGGGGGCAAGCTAAGGAAAAGTCGAGTCAAAAGTAGTGAGATTGAAAGTGACCCTGAAAATTTTCGCCGTTTAAAAAACCCTTCTAAATTGTCTCATCTAAGGTTGAACAAGGATTCCAGTTTTATCATGCCCGCAAGCACTCCCACAAATCCAAATGAGTGGGATATAATTACAAATCATTCGTCAAATAATTCTCTAAAGTCCAGGTTAGAGCCACCATCGTCACCAGCTGCTGGAAAATCTTTCCCTCCGACCTTGACTTCCAGTAATGTCAATATTAAAGATCTCATTCTCTCTGAAAGTAGAACTTCTACCAGCAGAGACATGATGGCAACCTTCAGTTCCAGCTCCATTCCAAACCCTACAGTCAAGTTAAAGAGCATAAGTGGACGACGAGCCTCTGACTCTGAAGTCAAAGTTGACCACCAACAACATAATGTCCCTTCAATGGGAGTCCGATCCCTAGTGGAATCCAAGCTCCCTCTTCCAAGTACCATCCAACAGCTTAGCCCTTCTCCTCCCCTGCTCGACTCATCGTCCTTGTTGTTCCAACATTTGTCAAAGAAAGAAGATATCACATTACCATCATCATCGGTACCCATCTCGCCAGTCCCCGCTGCTGTTTCCCCTCTGGGTGGGCCAAATAGCAGCATGGTCACCCCTAGCGAGTCGTCGTCTAGCAATAACGTCGTCACTCACGTTCAAGTTTCAACGACAGCAACATCCTGCATAACAGCATCATCGTCAACCTCTGTCCTTACCCTTACATCAACCGCCACGGGTGCAACAATTACAACTGCCAAGGGTATTTCCGTCACAGACGTTGTTCGGATTACGACGGCATCAACGCCGACCAGCAGTACTTCCACCACGGTTTCAGAAAGTGCAAAACCAAATGTAAATGTTAAGTATCAGGAAACTGTCACCTCTTCTGCAGGGCCCCATATCACTCCAAATAAACTTATACGAGGTAAATGAAGCATATAATGTCAAACAGTTTTCTTTTTCTTGCTGACCATGATTGTAACTTGTATCTGGAAAGAATAATCATGAAATAATAATAACAATAATAATGTTTAATTATTTTCCATTGCAGCCAATTTGCCACAACCACTGGACATTTCGGCTGCACAGGCTATACTACCGCTATCATCATTATCACCATTGGAAAACATCAAATCTTGTACGCCAACATCCAAGAGCCCCAACAAACCTCTCCCTGACCTTCTGGCTCTCCCAATAAGTCTTGCTGTTCCCACTGACGTAGTAAAAATAAACAATCCTCCGCCAAATTTGACACCACTAACATTGGGGTCTGAAATCGCCACTACGACAGCCACAACCACCACCACTACTGTTCAACAAGGGCCGACATCTTTTCAGCACATACCATCAGTTTGTCTTGAAACGGCTCCTATATCTAAATTAATTCCGACTGAAAAACAAATTTCTACAGTAACCGCAGAAGACGTGTCTTCTCGTCGTAATTTTCCTCCCTCAGAAATTTTAACGGGGGTATCGGATGTTCCAATTTATGAAGTAAAAAAGACTAGCTCATCACCATCTGATTCAATTGTTAGTGAAGAACCACCACGAGTAGCACACACCGCGTCGTCAGCATTGACGAGTTTTACCCAGCAATCCGCAAAGTCATCATACTTATCCAATACAAATGTTGCTTATTCCTTGCCAAAACCCCCAGGATCTGTTCCAATTCTTAGACCAAAAAAGCAAGCTCCTAAAGTTAGCATTGGAACTTCCATTGACTCTGAACTGCAATCTCTTACCCCGTCCCCTTCATTGAGAGAACTATTGGAAAAAGAAAAGGAACAAAACATGCGTTCCTCCATTCTGCAGGAGGTTGTGCGTATTCCCAAAAATTCAGTTGATATCAACAAGATGGTTGCTTCGAAACTAAGTGAAATCATGCCAGAAGAACAAAGGGCACCAACATTTGATGTTAACATTGACAAATGTGTTAAAGTGAATCATGTTAATGAGCAGTTGCAAAATTGTGCCGAAATACCAAATGTAGTTCCAGCAACAATCCTTGATGAAAAATTGATTGTATTTGCCACTAAATCAATTCCACCTCCATTCGATAAAGTTGACGATAAATTGGGATTGTTGCAAGAACCAACTTGTAATGCAAAAGAAGGAGTGGGAGCAAGTGCGAACATCTCATCCGACCAATCATTTGATAACAAAGCAGTGGCTCCGGAGAAAGGAAGTATAGCAACTCTGGTAGACGAATCGTTGCCGTCAACTTCAACTGTGACCCCGAATGCTCCTCTGCCATTTCCACTTATTCTTCCCAAGGCTGAAGGTGATCATGCCGGAGGAGGAGTTCCGGGGGAAGATTCTGGCATTGACTCAATGGATGCACTGTCAGAAAAAAGTCCAAATCAAGGGGAAAGTCCAGCTAGAAAGGAAATTGAGGTGTTTGGAGAGTCTCATCATTCTCATTTACCATATGGGGGTACGTCGCTATCTCGCACTTCTCCCAAATTAGAACCAGAGTCTACCTTGATTGTAACAAGTTCACCAACTATACCAACTGAACATACAGTTCAACCCATTCCTCAACAACACGAAAACCCAGCCACATGTCCTCCTATTCTTTCGCCTCAGCAAGACACGAAGGATGTCGAGATTCAGAAAGCTACAGAAACAATAAACGTGCCTTGTGTAGAATCTAACTCTCCATTTAGAGTTCAAACTGAAATTAGCGTCGTCTGTGAATCACACGACGATTCTACGGTCACCGCCATTCCAACGTCTACTTTACCAGCGATGGTCGATAATCCCACAAACCAGGAAGTGGCGAAAGTTGAAGCGGACAACGGCAGTGATACAAACCTGAAAGCACAGCAGAAAAGTCCTGTTGTTGTTGATGATAAAAGTCCTGAAATTAAGGCTGAGGTATTAACAAATTTCGGCGAGGCAGAAGAATCAAAAGTTGAAACATCTTCATCTCATTGCGATCAAGTGGACTCGCAACTTATTAACTTTCCAGATAATGTCGTAGATGCTCTTCCGCCTGACGAAATCTCACATGAGAGAGAATCGCAATTGTTGTTGCTAAATGAGAAACTTCCAAGTGCTGACATACTAGAAGTTACTCAAGTAAATGCTTCAGACTCCATATCTTCAGAACAAACATTCGAACCCGTTGACGCCATTCAAGAACTGCACCAGCAAAAACTTGCAGCGCTCCAAGCTCCAAAACCACAAGTAATTATTCACAATGCTAAATTCCGTAGAGCTAAATTGGAAAATATTGTTGCTGCGATTGGTACGAAAAACATTGAGCGGGTTGCAAAAGTGTCACCAGTCGATACAAGTGTTTCTTCTTTGGACAACATAAACACTTACACCGAAAGTTCTCTACTTGAAGAAAAGCTTGGTCCCGTGTTGGAAGTAACTTCAAACGTGAAATTGATAAAAGTCGATAAGGTGGTAACAAATGCATTTAACGAGTCACATGTTCCACCAAGCAGTGAAATGCAGACCGAGCTGGATGAAATTCATATTATGTCTGCATTGAACCCAGCCACCTTGGCTACTCCGGTGCCTGAACTTAAAGTATCGCCAACTTTAGAGGAGGGAATAAAAGTTGAAAAAATTAGTGGCAATCTTAGTCCTGTCCCCATCTTGAATCACAAAATTATTCGTCAAAGTAGTGTGCCCTCAGCAAAGACAGTAGACCCACCAAGCGAGAAAAAGGGAATCTCTTTGTCATCTAAAGAGGTCTTGACGACAGCAAGATCATCATTACCACAGGGTTTGGAAACGGGTGAGCAATTCGACATAAAAGAACAAGCCGTTAAAAACCCTGAACCACAAAAATTAGTTACGTCTGAAAAAACCGTACCCGCGAATCTGATTACCACATCACAATTACCAATACCAGCTCCAAAACTTGATCTTGAGACGGTAGCGTCATCATCGTCTTCGAACCCTCCCCCTATCACCCTTCATTCTCGAGCTAAAAGTCCTCAACAACCAATATTGGAACCACAAACACTAACAATCAAACCAAAGGGTAGGCCGAAAATTAATCGAAGAGGACAGGATAAGCCACCAAAGCTGTCAAAAGCGACAGAAACCGATCCTCGCCCAGAAACTGCAAACCCTCCCAGACTAGAAATTGGTGTTGCTATGAACGTTTCGCCTAGTTCTTCCGCCAAGTCTCCTCCCAACATTGGCGACCAGCTACCACTAAAGATGACGGAAATGGTTGCCAGCGGCCCTCCACTTATTAGTCCTCATCAAGTAGGTCATCCCACATCCCCCTCGTCCTCATCCTCATCCTCTCAAACAATAAAACTTTGTCAAGTAGTCCCAATAACGTCGACTCCACAACTCGTTCAACCATCGACAGTGCATGCAAAGACACCACCACCGGTACAACAACTTAAGTCTATTAGCGTTTCACTAGCCGCCACAGCGAGCACAAGTCTGGCCCCTCAACAGCGATCACTTCCAAATATGATTCAACTGTCAAAAGCTATTCCAATACCTTCAAACTCAAATTTGTCCCAAGCAATCTCATCCATGGGTTCAATTACAGTGCCACTTCAATCCAACGCCACGGCCGCCTTAGCTGCTGGCTCAGGACACACTTTTACTATTCATCCTAACATGATTCCTTCGAATCTAACTCATCTCCATCATGGTCAATCGTCATCCATTACAGTGCTGCCAGGAGGTCAGAAAATGATCCCTGTAAAACTGGTGACAATTCCAAGACAGTCTTCAAATCAGTTTCAGACCATCCCACTTTCAGGAATGTCACACAACCGTTCTTCTCCAAACATTTTAGAGGCAGTCAACATTGTGACTAATTCAGGATCTCGATCTAATTCACCAAAGACGCAGATGGGGAACTCTCCTTCACAAGGAGGACCGGTCATCAATTTAAACTCTGTCTCGCTTCCTGGAGGAGGAAATATCCAACTTGTCCCAATCTCAATCGCGTCGTCGGTGGCTGGTGGTGGTGGTAGTGGCTCCTCCAACCCAGTAAAAGTTCTCCTATCTCAGCCAGTGAAACTGAATCAGTCTCTTCCACATTCTCACCAGCAGCAGCAAATGATTGTCAAGTCGGTTATGATGGGGCAGGACGGAGCTCCCACTACAATTCAAGTTGTTCGACCTGGAGAGGGTGGGATGATGCAAAATATTGCGGTGGTTGCAACAAAATCTGAACCACCAACAGCAGTACCACAGCAGTCGTTTCTGAAAAAGCAGATCTGTCCAACAGTAGCAGCTACATCAACAACTCAATTTCGACCTGTTGATCCGGTTCCATTAAAGTTTGTTTCGTATAGTCAATTAACCTCAGTTGGAATTATCGATCAGCATCAAAAAGTGGCTGCAGATACAAAATCTCAAAAAGCGATAGTATCTCCACCACAAACGGATATCCCATCATCACCATCATTAGCCACTCCTGCCTCTCAGAAGTCGTCAGTGCAAAAGCGAGTTGATGATTTGGAAGTCTTGGATTCTGAGCTGAATCAAATAAATGACGACGATTTGCCCCTTGAAGCTGACATTATTCATGATTTAAAAGACTTGGAAGACGTATTGGCTGGAGAAAGTATCGAAGGTCAAGAAAACGGAATTAATTCTCCGTACGATTTTACCATTGAGGAAAAACTACCAGAAAAATATCATGGGGGATTGAGAAAGCAGCATGAGAAAGATTCCCAAGCGTTGACTAATAAGAAGGAGTCTGAGGATGCTAATCTTGACACAAATTCTTCACCCGACTCTCCAATTCCAATAATTCGATCATCCTCTCCGTTGTACACCTATGGGAATCGCTCCAGCAAGACATCTCGCTCTCCGTCTCCTACAGATGAATCGTCGGATGTTCTTCACGGTGAAGATCAGGAGATCATTGATTCATTTAATCGTTCACGCTCTCGCTCGCGTTCACCTTCTCAACCAAAACTGAGTCCACAGAATAAGTCCAGCTCGGTAGATGACCAACACAAAAACAGCCCCATGAAACCCGACTTAACTGCTTTCGAGGATACAACCTTGAATCAGTTGTTGTCTATTGAAATTCCTCCAGTTGACTTGATCTCTGATAATCAACTTCAAAATCTACCTACAGACGAAAGAAAACCTACTCGAAGTACTCGTTCGAATACCAGGCTTGTCAGCCCTGATATCACAGGTAAATAAATCGATTATTATTACTAATGCATACGAGCTCGGAAAATATGAATGTTTCAGATTTTTCTTTAAAACGTGTTGAGACTTGTTGTTTGCACCACTGTGGTGAGCTATTCAAGACAGTGCCGTTTGTAGCTCAGCAGCTCAGTTGGTAGTGGTGGGCGAACAGACAATGAGACAATGATTTTGTTTTAATTATTTGTAAACATGCTATTAAATTTACTCATCCTTATTGTTAACAGCTTTCAAAAGTGACACTCCAAAGCCGGCAAAGTTCTCATCGAAGCCCGATCCACACATTTTGAGAAACAGTCCGAGACCAAGTCCGACTGGAAGTTTGAAAATGTTGAGCCCAACGATGAGCTCAGGCCTCACTTTGACCCCCTCATCGTCGAACAGATCTAGCCCTATTTCATTGGGAGGAGGAACACCATCCATTACCAGCATCACCACCAACTCGAATCATGTCAATTCTGTTACTGCGGCTGCATTGGAAAAAATAAGTGCACATCTAAGCAATAGTAGTACCGGAGGAAGAGGTGGTGCTACTCACAAGGTTTTTAATTCAAAAAGAAAACGTCAAGAGTCTGACAGCAGTAGTGCTTCAAAGGATGAAAACAATGAGGAAAAGTCAGAAATTGATTTAAATACTAGACCTGGAAAACGAAGATGCTCAGAAAACGCTGCTGAGCTGATAAAAGCATGCATCGGAATTGAAGACACCCCGAAAAGGAACAGTATGCTAATAAAGAGAATGGAGGAGTCAAATAAGCTCAAGGAAGCCAAACTAAAGAAAGCAATGGGTATGTGAACAACACCAACACAAATATTCATAAAATAAACGTTTTTTGTTGCTTGCTATATTCGAGTTTTTTATGTTTTTATTTATAATACAATCCATTTCATTTATTACAGCCACTTTGGTGGAAGAAACTGAAGATGATAATGAATCTATTGAATCTGTCCTGAGTCGTGGAAGAGGCAGATCTAGTCGAGCATCGTCAGAAGATAGGTCATCCAGTAGAGGCAGTAGTGTCCAGCGGAATATTGGCTCCTCAAGGGCATCATCTAAAGAAGACATAGAACTTGGTATCAGTGAGCACAAGTATGTCGAGTTAGTTTATTTTTATACAGAAAAATGACAACCCAACTGCAAATTTTCAAACAACTTTTAATTGAGCATAAAATGGTTTATTATTTATGGCTTCAGAGAACGTATTGGCATAATATTTTTATTTGCCAGCTTTCGTTAAAACATAATTTTATCATGTTTATGATATTTTTTTCAGAACTTCCAAAAGCAACTCACGGCCAGGAGGGAAGGACAACTCGAAGGAAATAACTAACCAAAGTCTAAATTTGACAACATCAAAGAAAAAGGACATTACGAAACAAACAAGCAGCAACTCTTCTTCTGCAGCTAAACGTGCAATAAACATTGCAACGCCAGCCAAAGAAAAATCCCCACTAACTCCTGCTAAAACACGTACCAACGTTCGCAAAGGCAGCACATCTGCAAAATCATCCAACATCATCCAGCATGGTGCAGGCCAAACTCCACCAGAAACAGAGAATTTAAGAAGGAAAACCCGAAGTACAGCTGCAAGTAAACGATACGGTACTTAATATATAAATTTGTGTACATTTTGTGGTAGTGTACTACTTAGAATTTATTTATAATTAATTTGATATAATTATTATTATAATTTACAGGGGAGTCATCTGACGCAGATCTTGCTGCATTAAAACGACGAAGAATTTCAAAAGACACTAAAAGTTAGCGTAGATGGAAATGTCATTGGAAATGTCTAGGAAGCCGAACCGGTGAAAACTAAAGCTGCTTTATCATGGCGACGTAATCTTCGAAGTTGACAAAATACTCGTTTTGTGCGTATATGGACAAGCGGCAAGGACCTAAAGAAATATAATGAGACGACGATAACAAATACTATAGTTTAGTTGTTGTTCAACACCCCAACAATTGTTGATCTAGCGACCCCTATATTTTGAAGGTGTACATTACTCGTTTGTTGCTAAAACAAAGCTTACCTGCTACTAGCAATTGAATGATCGAACTATTGTTATTACTCTTAATTTATGTACATAACTTGTAAATAATTTTTAAATCTAAAACATGGTAAAAGTAATAGCGTCAATTAAATTGCATGGGGGTGACGCTAAAATGGTTAGTGTTGTTGGAGGTTCAATATTCATGTGTTTTGGCTTTGTTAAATTACTGTAAATACTTTATATTAAATATGTATGACTCTATAATAAGTGACAGGAAAATGAGGGAGTGCATCTCGTCTCATTATGATCATTGATAGAAAGAGAGTTCGCAGATAGAGAAGTGATACACAAACTACAAATTACTGTATAAGCATTAGTTGTATGTACGCGTGAATAATTTCAAGCGAATAATGTCGAGTAAATTTCACGAATTAATGAAATATTTATATATTCTTAAGTGTTAGGTCAGGCAATTTTATTAAATTTTAGCAAAAAGCGAGTGGGATATAAAATTATATATTCTTGTGAATGACATGAGACTCGTATTTCTAGAACTAATTTATTCTTATTACTTCTAGAAATGAGACGGACAAAATGTTTATCGTTGATCGTAACAAGAAGCGTAAATATAATCGTGAACTATATATCGTTCGAATTTAATAGTTGCATTTTAATTAATTTAATATTGCTATTACTTGAATAATGTTAGCTAAATAATTCATTAATGTTTTTATATAACCGAGAAATAGTCAGGAATTCTGAAAACAATTCCTTTATTATAGTACTATACACAAGTAAACACGTTTATTATGAAATGTTAAAAAATATTGAGCCACGTCACATCACCTACTTACTTATGTATGCTTAGTTTGTAGCCCCATTTTTAGAAACTTGATTTCTTTTCGAAAGAAATAAAACATGTTATTAATGAACACAAAACGTTTAAAATATTGCAAAATTTTACACTCAATTTTTTAACTCAACTGCTTCCGATTCAGATGTGTGTTGGGTTAGCTTATAAAGTTGATTAATTTCGTGAGGGACGGGCGCTAAAAGTTATTTATATATTGCCTGAATACCTAAGTTATATAATTTGATATTAGGCATCAGTAATCGTAATGAATAAATTTTGACCGTCAGCGTTTTTACAGGACATCGGGGTTCGCCTCCATAGCGATGACGATTATTATTACATGATCGTTCTTTTTTTTACTCTAGGAACATCCCATGTTAAGTGAACAAATAATTTATCGAGAACCATGTTAGACTGGCATGTTTTATAAGCTGTCCAACGTACTCTTTTCGAATGTTAGTTTCAAGTTCATAGTGGAGGAGACTATGAGACAACGAACAAACTCATGGTCGACAGCAGGGCTTCAGTGAGAAACTTTTAGTTAGATATTTATTTACATCATCTAATATGAGTTATAAAGATCTCTGCTGGTACTTTTACAGCCCGGGTGAGCTTTCTTCCAGAATTCCGTGCTGTTGTGGTCTCACAAACCTGAACTCTAGAAGCAAGTTTAGTAAGCATATTTGTAGCGGTCCTTTGTTGGATCACTGGCAGAAAGACAGGATCCAATTTCCACGAATTGAAAAGATGAATATTGTGGGGAGACAATACGTTGGAATGATTCTGCCCAAATTTTCGAGTTCGAGTGCTGACAACTATGCGAAGGATGTATTAGCGCCCATTGTCAAGCATCGTGTCAAGGCAGCCAAATTTTCGCCCTGTGTTCGATCGAAGAGCAGACTGCCTCTAAACGTTGATGTGAACATATTCTCTCCCAGAATAACGACAAAGGGATGTGTTCCAACTACAAAATTGTTCTGTCCAACACTTGCAGAAAACAAGAACCTGGTGTCTGAAGATACGGTCCGTAATGTGTGTGTAGTAATTTGGGACATGTAAATAAAATAATTGATACTTTCCAAAGATGCAGTGAATAATTTTGTTCGTTTAAATTTACAGCCAGTCAGTCCAGTGTCTCAGACGAGAGGAAAATCTTGGACAACAATTGTCAACAGTCCACCTGTACGGGATAGCAGCATGGATCAAATAGGAGGAGGAGACGAACAATCGAACGACGCCTGGTGCCAAGAGTTTCCGCTAATTCAGGAGTATGTGCAAGTAGAGGAGGGGGAATCTCTTATTGACGCTGCCAAACGTGGACTGCAATTATTCAGAGATGAGGTCGGAGAGAGCATAGAAGACGCTGCCCCATGTCGTCCTACGAGCAGAAAGTTATTAACCCCGTCGAGTGAAAAATTCTTCTCTCCGGAGATTTCGAACAATGGCAGCTGCAGTTGGACCCTGTTTGAAAGCTTTGACTTTGTGGACGCTTTAAGTACGAAACATTAGATATTAGATTTATGTGAACTGATTGTTAATTGGATTAGTTTTACTGGTGTATTAATAGTGTAATCTGGTTGTTTTTGAGATGAGATCTTTATAACTTTGATCAAATTTTCACAGAACTCGCTGATGGACGACTTGGAAAAAGGGAAAAAGCTGAAGCTGAGTCATTTAACTCTAATGTAAAGGGTCGCTCAGTTGGTGACCTAAAAAACGAAAATGAAATGATTGATATTGAAGCAATAGTTAAAGAGTCAATTGTTCCAGGCAGAGGCAAGTAACATGTATAATGAATGTAAATTATCATAATTTCATAAATTTGAATTATTTGATTTAAATTGATACATTTCTAGCAGTGGACCCAAAAGTTAGGCCGAGTCCTGTTTCTAGCTCCAATTTTTCGCCTAGCTCTTATGAAAACTACCAAAATGTACATGACGAAAGTAGAAAACTACCTTCATTATTGTCAATACCAGTAATATTACCAACTTCACTTGCACATTTGTCGACATACTTCTCACTTTGCTGCAATAGTTCATTTCCAACTTCAAACCGTGTTTCCCCAGTCGTCGTTCCACCAGAGGTTGACTCCGCTGAAAAGTTTTTCCCACTTTCCCTTGTCAATGCAAACATGGATAATTTCAACAAGCCAAGTACAACCCTCCCAACTCCAACTCCAAGTATTTTTGTAACGAAACCAAGAATACCGTCTTTGATGGACTTGGAAATAACTATTCCGTCCCAGGCAGTAGTAGCTAAAAAGAAGGGAAAGCCACGTTTGCCAACTATTGCAGACGCATTGAAACATTCCGTCCTTCAACCCGCACGCTGTTCTTTCTCAGAAATAAAGTCCTCCAAACCTCACAAGTCCCATAAACAAGCACAAACTATGCCAATTGATGAGCAAGCAACTTATTCATCCAAGTTTTTAACCGAAATTTCGGAAACGACGCCGACTAATTCTATGCAAGAATATAAAGAAAAAAATTTTCCCCATCCTTGTAACGAAACTCATCCTTCCTTCACGCCCCCTCTTCAGTTGCCGTTGGATCATACTCCCTCCAATAGTTTTAGTTCGGAATCTTCAAATTATTTAAGAACCCCAAAAATTTTGAAAATTTCAGACAGAAATGAGTCTTCTCGAAAGCCTTGCCACAAGAAGAAGAAACTTATCCTTCGCTCCATCCTAGACTCTCAACCCAAACTACAGATAACGGAAGTGTGTCAGCGCGTGGATTTCAACAACTTTGCGGAAGATTGGAAGACAACTCGGGGGTCAATGGTTTGCTTTGATGCGAAAGGAAAAGTAGCCCGGTTCCTTCCCCCACTCCCTCCCCCTCCCTCAGTGGCGATCTAATTTTTCAGGCTTTTGAGTATAACTCATTCGAAAACCTGCAAATACCAAGGGTCCCCATATTATGTATATATTGTATTACCTACAATACCAGTAAAATAAGAAATTAAGAAAAATAAAATTATTATTTTTTGTTGGACTTTACTATTCCTATCATTGCACATAATGCTTCATACATAATATACACACGGACTATGTGTATACAATCCACTCACACGTGGTGATTTTGTTAAACACCAGAACTGTCGATAACAATGTGGTCGGTTTGAACAAACGGTTTACTCATATCTTATCTGTTGACCACGAGTCAATACTTTTTATTTGTTCTATGTACACTGTTTGCTTACTTAAAGTATCGCTCTATACCTAGTCACTCGTATTTATTACTCTCTTAACAATGAAAGTGATAGATATGTTAAATACGTATGTTTTTTTAACCTATTTCATGATAACTGGCCAGTTCGTTTTGAGTCCGTGCACAAATAATGTCACTCATATGATCGCCAATCACTACCTGTCAGATCTGACCCTCACTAACACAAAGCTCGTGATCATGATATCGGCATTAATGCATGGCCTCGTTTCTTTGTTCAATGATAAGTCATTATTTCGTCACCCCATTCCTGGAATTATATAGGTTTCGTTGAAGTGATTATAAACGTATGACGAACTCATCTGTGTGTACCGAGTATGATGCACGTTCATAAGCATGCGTATTAGTATCTAAACGTGCTCCCTAATAAATATGCACATAGATAAAATCGATTACTCAAAACCGATAAAAAACTAAATATGCTTTTTCCACAACTTATATGTAACTCATTATTTTCTTTGTCACGCAATATTTCATAAATTTCCTTCATAAATATTTTACGGCAATTTTGTTCTAGGAATAGTTTACTGTCCGTGTCAATACAACCGGATAAGAATCTCAAGCAAGAATGGAAAAAGGTTTATAAAATTGCAACATTGGTTTTGATGTTAAGAAATAAAATAGGATCCTCATGTCACATCAAGCATTACAACCTGTTAGCACAAATTAACTTAGCTCGGGCTAGGGTGTGGTTTTACCATTTCAGTTTGATGAACCATAATGATGCAAGTTTGATTCCTAACTTTGAGCTAATACTAATGAACCTAAGCATAAACACAGCCCAGACAGACATGACGGTTCAAAGTTCGAGACGTGGCATTAAAAATTTTGTCTTATTCTGTGTGACCCAGACTGGGTACATGAAAGAATATTTAAACCAAAAGTAACTAATTACAGCCACTCCAAATATTTACAAAAATGTAATCTCATTTTTTTCTGACTGGAAAGGTAGGCAGTTTAGTCAGATATCAACTACGAGATCGTAAAATTAGGTCAAACATGCAATTAAGAGTATTTGGTTGGTTGAAGGTATCTCATCTCAGGTCTAGTTGACTGCATTCGATGCAGATAACTTTTAAATTATGTGTGGCCAGTATCTGCAGTCTTGACGAGCATTTGTAGCATCGATAACGAAACCATATTGAGTATTGTTGTTTGCCGTTGTTAGTTCGTCAGTTACTTCATTATCGTCTTTCAAGACATTGAACATTGAAGGATTCAATAACGGGAAAAATGGAGATAGCTCAGTTTATAAAAACTGACACTTCTGATTGGTGGTTATCTGAAAAGACCATCATGGCAAAATCTGACGTCCAAATTCAGCCAGAATGTTCGTTAAATTGATTTGACTCATGAGCATATAACGCAATATACCTAGGTAAATAGATACAACTGACAAATAATTTATCTCCAAATACATATGAGTATGCCCATACACGTATCATAACCTAGGTCAATGTATGCCTACACTGACCATTGCCATTCCCCAAGCTCAACTGGACATTACCACGTTAAATTACCACAGATATTATTGTGGTGGGTCGCTGCTGCGCAATAACTTAAAGTATATATATCAGATTATGCCCTTGGATGACCCGTTGATGTCATTGATTTTTCATCTCACCCCACACCCACACCTAAATAAGTAAATACATGGAAATTTCTAAAATCTATTTAATTTCATGAGTTTTGAGATAAATGCAAGTTTTGATACAAAACGTATAGTGTCTAAAGTTAATTTTTGACGCTTCAAACCTGTCGTTTAAAAAAAGTTGTGATCACTCTCGCTGAACAAACTTATTCTATCGACTTGAAATTTGGTACACATGTACGAGGGGGGGGGGTCGGAAATTAATCGGCTTCGCCATGATCCGGTAATAAATTAGGGGTACTTGCTCTACTACTTTTAAATGTAGTCCCCTGCGAGGTCAACACACTTGGTCCGCTAAATTTCAAATACACTATTCCGATTTTATAAAGGGTTTTCGAAAAAAAGTCAAAAACGCTGTTTTCACGTGATCAATCTTCGAAATCTCCTCCCCCTGAGAGTTTTTTGAAAATATAGAAATACACAGTAGTCACTAGAGCCCAGGTGTGGACTGTAAGGGGGATGAAATAATTTTGACATTTTTTTGGCTTAAAATGGCACCCTTCAAAAGTTTGAAGTTTTTACTGAAAATTCGTCGTAAGCGTTTTCGTGAACGACGTGATTTTTGTTCTCGTCTTTTCTCTCCAATGGCTTTGCTTATTTTTTCAAAATTTCGGTATAACAGGCACCATGTATCGCCGTTTTCAGAGCCGAAACGTTTAGAAGCAGAAGTCCTTCGGAGTCCCAAAATATATGGCAAAAGCCATAATGCCTATTTCTGTTCCCACTTTGCTCCTTTGTGGGTGGGTGCTTCCACTGCGTGTTGTTTTGTCTACTTTCAAGGTCATAACAATGAACCCAGGTTCATTACCCAGTGATTGAATGCAAAAAGAAGTACATGTTTCCGTTTTGAAGATCTAAAACTACATAACAAGCCTGGGCTAAATTTTATCGATTTGGTCCGTTTTGCGGTTTTTGATCACATCAGACGGTCTCCTCGACTCGGTCGTGACCGTGAAATTTTAAGCTACGAGATCCGAGATACATATGAGTTTATCTTTCGCACCGACAAAAAAAGTTGGACAAAATGACCCTCCTTCTAGGCGAGGCCGATTAATTTCCGACCCCCCTTCGTAGTATGAGGCAAAGGGTTAAGTTTGAGGATGAGAAAAATCGGTCGCGTGGTTGACCGGTGGGGGCATAAAGGTCGGACAGTTGGTGCGGAATATTCGGAATTGTCTTAGAAGGCTGATATTCCTTTCCGGACATTTTGTCATATTTGTGTACTAATAATAAATAAGTACAAATAACGGGAACAAATGGGTACAGGGAGAATATTTGGAAAAATAGAAAGGACACGTCTCTTATATATAAAAGGCGATAAATTAAAATTTCTATGTATTACCGAATATTTCGCATTATTTTTTCTGCGCCCTACGTATATTCAATTTGAAAAGAAATTTTAATGTACAACAAGGAAGATAAAATTGCTTGTTCACATTGACTGAAATTATAAATACAAATCATGTCTAGCACGTGACGCTTTCATTTTTATGGTAGTTTAAATCCTGAAATTAAATAACACATTGTAGGCATGACTGATATCAGGATTTGAAAATACTAACAACTTGTACGTAAAATCAACCCACTATGTACATATGTACTTTCAGATTCAATGAGAACAATTAACAGTCGAAGGGTGTGCAACTTTTTATTTGTGTAAAACCAGGTATTTCCTGTCAAACTTATAACTGATTACTTTTCAGGTACACCTTTCATAAAAACAGCATGACAACATCGTCTGAAAACTCGTCATTTTTATTACTCAACCTAACCTAACCTAAACTTGACGCCAATGAAAACTCCCACATTCCATGTCTCCAACCTTCAGTAAATTACGTCCAGCAGCAATAGTTCATATGAATGAAATCTTGTTTATTTATTAAATCCAATTATGTAACTTTTGAGACTATATACGTAGACATCACGTTGGTATTGGTGTAGACGAGTCGGGTGGTCATGTAATTAATAATTAGTTCTCTTACATTTAGAGATGTATTTACACATTATATGCATGCATGGTACATGATCTTTTATGTATCGATCGACTTGAATTGAATCGAATCGACAAGACACAAGTTCAGATTTATCGTTCAAATTCCCAAGCTCGCCTGAAAACAGACTGTCATACGATATGCCGAGATAGACAAATGGAGCACAGTGTTTTATGCACAAACGATGGCTGGAAAGCTTATCATGGAACACATTATTTGTGAAATTTCACTGTGGCGAAGATTATGCATAAATATCTGTCGACTATATCATTCAGCACAGTTGTTTATGATTTCTGGTGACCAACTGGATATTTCTGACCATGACTCGCTACCCCATTGACCAAAGTGGTTACTGAACACGTATTTTATTCGTCCGTAATGGACGAAAGGACGAGTCGAAGTTCGTGTTTAGTACAAGTTATAGACGGGCTGGTACGGGGTGAACGGGCGCCGGTAAACGTGCTAGGCTCGTCCTTATCTGGTCCGTTAATACCAAAACGGAACCAATTGAGAACGTCCCTGGAACCGGGCTGAATTCGTTCTAATCACGCTCTTATGCGGTGCAAATATACGAAAATAGTACGAGTATGTAACCACCAAGAACTATTTTTTACTCAATTTATTTATATTTATATTCGTAGCTTTAATACAAATTAAAATATAAGTAGCAATTAATTTATGACGAAACGTGCTCTGCAATTCCATCCAAGCTGCATCTAAGTATAAATATGTCTCACATTAAATAATATTCTTAAATATTCTTAATCTACTAAATATATGAAGGTTACGTATATACCTTTTTCTTTCTTGCGTTGATCAGTTGATCCTGGCAGGAGCTTTGTTCAGCCAGTTCTGGATGCTTTCGTCGATGTCTTTATGCGTAGCTGATGACATTAGTGAATTTGTCCGGACGGCAGCTAAAATTGAAAATAGTTAAAATATGCACCCGAATGAAGCAAGGACAAAAAGTTTAAATTATCAGCCTTACAATAAACACAGCTTTTGATCTTTTCACGATCTTTAAAAGATTTTTTTCCGCGTTGACCCGCCAAACTTTGTGTTGCTGCAAAATCGTCCGTCATCAAAAGTGTAAGCACGCGGTAAATAGCATCTGTGCCTCTACTGCATGAGCCTAACAATCTCGCTATCTAGAAATTACAATACATAAATTATGATAAACAGAGCTAAAAAGATTGGGGTGAACTTGAAAGCTTGATGTTAACCAATGCTTGTCGAATTTTAGGGTCAACTCTTTTTCGTTCCAATTCGTCATACTCCGTCAAGTTGTTTAATGGAATAACCTTTTCGTCGTCATCAAGGTCTTCGATAATCGTCCTATTTTGATTACGCAAAGTCAGATGTAAAGTTTCTCGAAGCTCGTTAATGGTCGCTTGAAGGTAATCCAGTTTACGAATTATATCTGCACCAAAAAAATAGATACGCCCCTAAAATTTAAATTGTTACTGTAGAAGGAAGTGAACTGCATACCATGGGTTTTTGGAGTAAGTGCAATTGTTCCATTAAATGACCCTTGATCAATATTTTGGCTTCGTACCTGGGACAAAGAACTCATCGGGGCTCGTCCTTTGAAAAATTAGTTATTTTAATTATATTAATTAATGCAAACAAGTTAGAATGAAACGGTAAATTATGTTTACGAATGAGTTAGATTGTTTAGGTTTTACATGTAGCTCTTCTTTAACGGACTATCATTCTCGTCATCGCCACTTGAGTCAGCGTTAAAAAGTTTTCTGTTGACAGTCTTACGTAGTCGACCCCCAGTTCTGCGCCACTACTAATCCCTCCTCCTTGTGCAAGAAGTGGAAGATTTAGGCGAGCATCTTCGTATTTTCCTAAACAGAATATAAATAAAGTTTTAACGATACACCCACAAACTTTATATTATAACTAATGTAAAAAATACTACATACCGTATCGTTTAACTATTTCAGTCTCAAGGATTTTCCAAGTTTTGGCGTCTGGTTTACTGAGAGTTTAGTAATACTCGCGAATTTTAAAAATTTTTAGTAGCACGTCTGGTAATTTTTTTCGTCGAATTTCTGTAAATGTCCTCTGTCCGACCGCTAGCTGCTGACTGGAAGTAAAACTAGAAGCAAAAACATCCATGCTGCCAAATATTTAAATGTGGCGCACTAGTTTCATCGGACTTCGTCCCTCGGCCGTCTTTAACACGTCTAAATTCAAACAACCATACAACCCCATCTCGAGGTGGTATGGTTGTGACCACCTCCGTACGTCCTAAGATCGAGCCCCTGGTACCGGGCGAAGCTCGTGTCATACGTACAAACTAAGCACGTCTTTTACCGGTGCCCTTGGTCCTGGACGAATCCAGCACAAATAGGACCAGTTAAAAACGTGATGAGAACCAACTGGTCAATGGGGTAGTTTGATAAAGTTGAACTACAAGAAAAGCAAACGGATACATACACAGTCTAAATATCTGTCCAATGTAATCAAATATCAAAGTCATAAAAAATATCAGTAAAGGGAAGACGGCATTTGCTGGATAAATCGTAAGTTATCTGTATCACATTATCATTTGTCAAACCGATCGATATGCCACCTGTAATAAAAATGTACGGGAAACGCGTAAAAATTATAACTCAAGTGCTCGTTGCCGTACTAAAAATGGAGATCTCCCAACGTATGCTCACAGATTTGGACCAAACTAGCGTCAATCGATCACAAATATAATTAGATTGAAATTTGTAAATGGAACTATCTGCCAATGCGCAGGTTTGGCGGAGATATTTCCCAAGCGGGAAAAATGCGCAGGAAATTTGGAAAATGAAAAATTTCTTGGGGGTGCGTTGTTTGCTCTTTTTATGCAAATATTTCCGCCAAACCTGCGCATTGGCAGATAGTCCCATTTGCAAATTTCAACCTAATTATATTTGTGATCGATTGACGCTAGTTTGGTCCAAATCTGTGAGCATACGTTGGGAGATCTCCATTGTAAGTAGATTTGTTTAGTTTCCTGCACTTGATAAATCGAAATGAATAATTCCGCTGTCAATTTCGATTCTCGTTTTTTTCTCACTGAACGTAATAAATAAATCCTCAAGAAAATTCAAAAGTTTAATCAGCGAAGTAGTCAAACATCGATACGTATTGTAAATTAAGCAATGGTTGAACAATAATAATGTTAAAAACGCAACTTCATTATGATTGAACCAGATTTAGCCATGACTTTGTTTATGTCTTACGCTTTCCGCAAAGTGCACGCTTGGAATTAAACATATGTATGCTAACCGGTTTGATAAATAATTAATCAAGCTTTACAAAATACTACTTTAGTTTAACGTCATAGAAGGCCATGGCTAGAATTTAAATGTCTTTCAGGGTACCAGATTACATAAGAATCGAATGACTTTGATTGAAAACATGCTCGACGTAAATTATGTTCGAGTAAAGTTGGAATAATTTATGACCAATGACATTTTAACGTTTTTGGCATGGTGGTAACTTATTTTATGGTTTTGCATTTCCTCAAAGAGGCCGAGAAAAAACTCGGCTCAGCCAATATTTTACATACCTACATTTTTACTAGTCATTAAAATGGAATAATTTTGGTGACCAACCATTTTTCAACCATCTTTCAAGAAGTCACTGATCGAAACCTACGATTTGTCCATCTTGTGTCATTAGACTTCCAACATTTTTGTATTTTTCCATAAATATTAAAAATTATACTAGATGTTCACTATTGCAGAGTACACATCTTTGTGGGACGGAAAATTTCCCGCTCTGTGAGCTCAAAGTATGTTAAAAGAAGCCAAAGTCTCTATTTCTCCGTCCCACAGAGATTTTTACTGCAGTAGTAATTAGTAAATAGTATTACCCGTTTCACTTCTGATGGAGTCACATTTAAATTGAATATAAACCACCCTCCGATGCATAGATCATGCTAGATAATACGACTCATCCCTTTGTTAACAAAGGAGGATAATAGATAGGCATCTTATCCAGCCTAAAATTATGCTCATAGAGGCCTCACCCATGAGCTTTTATGCAATTTTCTACTTAACCATACAGTTTCAACCTTAATTAATATATTGAGTCTATGATTTCAACCCATTGCTCCAATACTAATCTATGGGCGGTTTTGGAAGCTAGAAATCCCGTCACAATTACTTATGAAATAAACTTTTAATGTGACAAACGACGTGTTTTTCATATTTACTGCTTCCATAAAAATAATTGCTCTTGTATTACGTCATGATAATTTCTTCTCACAAAATTGGGATGATGGATATGTAAAACCTAAACTAGTTGCGTTGGTTTTGCATAACATAAATCAAACTAAGCTCAGTGGGCGGGTAAATTAACTTCACGCTACGAGGCAAGCTCCTTCCAGCCCATCTTTTTACCGTGGCAAGAAATGTCCATTTGTTACTTGTTCGACAAGAGCAGCATGTCAACAATAATAGAAAATTTAATATTTATTTAAATTATGGTGGCACAACAGCTTTCTGCCAATTCGTTGTATGCAATATCATTAAGTAGCAAAAGGAACTGAAGCAACTTATTACGATCAATTTGTTCGTCGTTTGACGTCGATAACTCTGGAAGTCAACTTTTTAAAATTCGGTTTTCATGAATCTATATCTAATTTTTTTTAAATGAAATGATGTCAATCAGAGCAACGCCATCAGTTGCTCATATCTCGTAGGGGCGTGATAAAGGGTCAAATTGCTGGACTCCGAGTTATGACCCATAGCAATATGTCGAAATTCTTTGAGTGGGACTGAATCATGCATATCAGACACTATCAAAATATATTAATGTCATTTCGCCCAACTGACCTGGAATCTCATCGTAGCATAGCAGAATTTTGGTCATTTCGCTTCTTTTACTTTATTATATCTGTTACTAGAGTTTATTTATTATGGAAGAGTCTACATCTTGTTAGGTTGGTTGGGGAGAATGAATGCTCACGCTGGTCCCATAAATAAAACACCGATTCATCCTTACTTTACCAAGCCCATTTATTTGCCAGTTGTTGTTGCTGCCCGTTACGGTTCGTCTCAATTAATTACGACCATCATGGCTGTTATTATGTGACTAGAAGTTTTAATACGGATTATCTATCTATCGTTCCGGAATATGAGAAATCCCACAACAATAATTGGTATGTGGCGAAAAAGATGCAAAAACTTGGGATACACCATTCTCTAATTCACGTAACACATAATGCATAATCTCGTTGTTATTCACCACGTTGCTGACGAGTTATGGGTGGATTGAGTGCAGTGATCATTCATTCTGACATTCTGTTAAAAATGTAGGAATGAAACCAATTACATACGTGGGTAAAGGTACTGGTTCTCAAATACAACCCTTCTATCTTACGTCACGATTTTACATATCATGTTTCTTCAGAGCTTAAAACCACCGTCGCTTCTCGTGGTTTTATATCCGACTCTTAGGATTAGTCCGCTCGATTGAGTGGAATACTGTAATAGGTCTTTTTTTTATATCCGAACGCATATAAAATGATCGACTCGAGTTCGGTCCGGGTAAATAACTTGTGGATAAGAAACTGATCCTGCTAGACTTTACATGGGCGTTGTCGTTGCATGGTTGGTTGATATTGATTTGACTGTCTCGTTTTTTACAACACTTAAATACAACTTATGGGTGGATTTTGTATGAATAACCCGGAAACTTCCCCGGTGGAAGGTTTCATGATTGTAATAGTGACATTACATGAGGGGCGGAAGGAAGTAATAAATCAATGTTTTCCTCCTGTAGTCTCGATTTGGCTGATGTTACACTGGTAAAAATCTGGTAAAGTCACATAGATAGACGACTCCGTACAGTATGGTAGTAAACTTCTTACCGGATTGGTAGTAGATTGTTTCTTGATGGCAATTAATTTATTACTGTAACATTACTAAACGGCAATACCCTTTAGTACTATGCCGCTAAAGTCATAAGTGCTCCAGTCAGTAATGATTTAATATCAGTTTTCTAAGAGACTTGATCATGGATGAGAAGCTTTATTTTTTATTGGATTTTACATCGTGAGTGAGTGTGATGTAAATCAGTCGTTGACAGTTAAAGATAATAAATTAAGCAAAAAATGAGTCTCGGTCTTACATAATTTATTACCGCGACCACACCAGGTACGACCTATTAAGCCCATTATGTCCGAGTCAGTCCACTTCTAAATTTTTGTCCGAATTGACCGGACTATTATCAACTCCCCTTGGATTTTACTAAATGATTATTTGGCACCAAATTTTTGAAGTATTTATAAATCTTCCCCCTGTCTACCAAGACCAGTAGGCTTGCTTCTTTCAAATTTTAAACTTTCAAAGTTATATTTTCTACGCGGGCTATTTTTAGCCCTGCAGTGGCAGGGACTTTATGCATTTGCAAATCCCTACAAAGGCAATTCACGAGCAATTAACGAGTCAATTCCTTTACAAAAAAGAGGCGAGATCCATAAAGTATGTCACGTCAAAATCGCGATTTTCTAGACCCCCCTCCCCCCTTTAACATGTGTCACATAGGCACGATATCATTGGAGCCTTGGACCCCCTCTCATAGTAACATAGGACAACGTGAAGGTTTCTGGGCTCGCCTTAGAACATATTGAAAAAACTTTGAACTCAAATATCTCGAAATGGTTCAGCTGAAATGAACAAATTGTAAATAAAGCAAACATAAATTAAATTTTCTATTGTATTATGGTCAGCATGCAACCTCGACCAAAATTTTACTCCCGCGTTATCCCTACCCTACTAATAGTATGGGAAGGATACGAGCACATGATAGTCGAGGTTGTACGCTGACAGTAATAGGAATTGACGTTGAACTCGTTACCCGCCGTTCCTTTGTATACCACACGATAAAATGACCAGCGCGGCTAGCTTGCTTAGCGCCATAAGGTTCAATTGGTTCATGGGGAATGCAAATAAGTTTGCATAACATTTGGGCACCATAAAATGGGTATCAAAATCTCAGAAAGTGGAGTCGAATATATTTATGTAATTTGTGTTTAGCGCCATCCAGTGTTGTATTTAGTATCAAACTAAATTCAGAACTTTTTCAGAGAGACCCCACAAAGTTACATATATATTCTGACTCCAATTTCCGAGACCTTTCTCTTGAAACAAATTATGGGGTGCGGTGACCAAAAATCAGCAGTGTGCTCGAAACATTGGGAAGTGATGTGAGTGATGAAACAAACAGAATATTTCAAGACCAACGATGTTGAAATAAGAACAACGGCTACGGCACTGAACTGGCATTCGTACAGAATTCTGGTAATAAATTCTATTAGAAACAAATTGCCTCTGACAAAAATCATATTTTCATAACCCAGTAAATAACAAATCGTTTGATGACTCCTCACAACGATGTCTGTAACATGGTTTACACTTTGTCATATTATGATTTCTCGAGATGTTCGAACTCTAAAATTATGTTGGTAGTTTCAGCAATAGTTGGAGAGTAAGATTTGGTATGACATCCAAGCTGCTGCATGTACTTATCTTTATCTTGTAATTGTAATGCGTTAGGAGTTGAGTTTGATTGCAGATTAAAGTTGTAGTTTATTGAGGGGTTTTACATATAAAAAGGATAGCACGTACGCATGCTGGCAGTTGTCGTGCAAGAAACTGTTGCCCGTCATTGCGAATGCGAGGTTGTGTACATGG